AAAATATATAATACAAAAGTAAAATAAATTGCTGTAAGGAAGCCATTTCTCTGAGCTTACTGAGATTTGCAACACTCTTGTGGCTGTCATTCACTATTCTAATAGAGCTCAGGGAGATATCCTCCCCAGGAATAGTTAAACCTTTGTTAACATACTTAGTCTAGATTCTTCTGTTAAAAACAAAAAGAGATAATAAAAAAAAAAAAAAAAAAAAAAACACCAAACCCCACCTTTCTCCATTAAAATACTTCTGACTGATATTAGAATTATAATAAAATAAACCAGGGATGGTAAAGTAGAAAATTATACTACTTTCTATACTAAAAATAACTTCTCAATTTTGAGCACATTAACAAAAAACCCTTGGTGGCTGCCTACCCCAACTTTTAACGATATATACTCTAAAGAACAAATTCAAGTTTTATACAATTTTGGTGACTGTTACTTAATGACCGACAGGAAGAACACCCAAGATAGTCTTTTCAGGCCCAGTAGCTGACAAAGTAAGTGGTTATAACACGGTAAACTTTGTTAGCTTTCTCCCAGGTCTATGTATAACACAGAGTGACTGGTGAGGCCATTCCAATGTTTCTTACACACTTCTGTCAATATTAATCTTTTTCCTCCAGCTGGGCCAAACTCCCTAATTTAACCCCTCCTATCATTTTAGCATATGTGTATAAATACCCTTTCCTTTCAGGTGGATTTAATCTGAAAACTCTCCTTTACTTTCATTATGCAGCTCTAGTGTTAGTAGTGAGTGACATGTAAATAGAATTAATTCCTCAGATTACAACTGCAGCCAACAGCATTTTAAACAGCTAGTGTTATCTCCTCACCAGACAACATTCAAAATCTTATAAAACAAGGAGACCACACAAACTATCCTATACTAACAGAGCTTTGCCAGTGAAAGCAAGTTTTGCAAAACTCACAGAAAAATGGTATATTCAGCCCTCTTGGTTATTGTGCAAGTGCAAATGAACCTCCCCTCCTTTTCAGGGTATTTCTGAAAATTTAGATATTTTGAGAGAAACTGTATGAGTAAGACTGCATGACACTGGGTTCCACTCTGCCTGGTTCAATGGTGAGAAAATTCCATGTTACCTCCACGGGAAACAGAAGGCATGGCCCAGATGCAAGCTCCTCACCCTGAGGGCAGGACCAGAGGTGGCTCCTAGAGTGCCTTAAGGTGTGATTAATTTGTTTCCATAAAGCTCTGACAGTGTTCGGTAGGAAATTGAGGGCAATATCGTTCAAACCTGTGTCCCATATATGCACTGCAATACTCGACATGTGCCTAGGATGCACTCTTCAAGTCCACAAAAGCCATACAAGTGCATTCAGAGTCAGAAGTTCAAAGTGAGAAAAAAAAAAAAAAAAAAAAAAAAAAAAAAAGGGGTGGGGGGGGTAAGGAGTAACATTATTTGTAAGATTAAAAGAGTATTATTGTGGGAGTTCACTTTTAAAGCCAAATACAAAAAAGTTTATTTCATGCAGCTTACATCTGTCTAAAATTAGAATGGGCACCTAGATGACTTTTTAGTCATAGTGATACTGTACAAAAATCAGCTTATATTCAAATTGTATCTCCCAGTGAGATAACAATTTCTTATATGCCAAAAAATCTAGCATCTTGTTAATACAGATCTAAAATAAGAATTAAGCTATTTAAGTCTTTATAAGACATTACATTTGATGAAAATAGCTATTATTATCCTATCATATCTGCAGTACCAGAACAGGGAGCAAATTAAGGTACAGTTCTAAAATATTAATTGAAAGTACAGTTCTCTATTGTGAAACTAAAGCATAAGGGTTGTGTATTTTATACAGAAATAAGTGTTTTGAGAAAACACAGGAAAAAGCAAAGGATATGTCTTTGTAATGAAAGTTACAACTTCTTAAATTGTTTAAAAAGTTTAAATGTCAAATGATTTCCACTAATTTTCATCACATACCAAACCTAAAGCAATAAAGTCTATTGAGTAGGTAAGTATTCTTCATGCCTTTCAAAAGTAAATACTGCCTGGATGAATGGAGTGAGGTGGGCTAAAAACTGCCTGAATCCCCAGGCTTGAAGGGCATTGATTGATGGCTCACGCCCCGCTGGCAGCCAGCCATGAGGACAGCCCTGCAGGGGTCAATTTTGTGGCCCATGTCAATCAACATCTTACCAGTGACCTGGGCAAGGACACAGACTACATGCTAACAAGTTTGCAGATGACATTAAATTAGGAGGATGAGACGGCACGCCAAATGGCAGAGCTTCAATCAGAAGGATCTTTCTTGTCTTGAGGTCTGGGCCAGAAGATGCTTCATGAGGTTCACTAGAAGTGCAAAGGTCCACACCTGGGGGGGAAAAATCCCACGTGCTGGGACAGGAGGACCATGCAGCTGCCCTGCCAAAAAGCAGTGGGCACTTACACTGGGTGCCAGGCTGCAAAGGAGCCATGAGTGTGTTCTCATTACAGCGTGGGAAACCCCGTTCCGTGCTACACTGGCAAGGGGATGTGGAAAGCCCACTGTCCCCAGCGACTCAGTGCTGGTGAAATTTCACAGGTTGCCTAAAAATTATAATTTGCATAGAAGCCCCCAGACCTATCCTTTGTTAACCCATTTTCTTTAGAAGCACAAAGAATGTCATGATGTCACCCAAGGTTACAGAAAAATTTAATAAAAGATTTTGCACAGAATCCAGAGAATTATGCACTATAAGAAATTGCTTTGCTGTACATCTGCTATTACTTTTCAGTTTCTGATGAAGACTACAGATATTTCATGATGCATTGTTTTGTGGTGCTTCTACTTACCAATGAACTAATTTAACATTCAGTAGGCTTAAAAAGGGCCTTCAATAGAAAGATTTAGCATATCAGATTTTTTTAATTCTAAAAATGTTATTTTTCTTTCAATGAGTGCCAAATAAACAATTGTAAAAAATAATTAAATCAGTGATGGCATCTTTAGTATTCACCAAGTTTCATTTTGCTTTGCAGATAATGGCATTCACAAAGCACCAGCAGAAAAATAAAGACCTTATTTCTGTATTTAAATTAAAAACTGACTTTCAAAAAAATCTGAGTGCATGCAGTTTCTGTTCCTCAAATGTTCTTGCAGTCATACACACATAATGCTTTCTAATATCATGGTGAACTGCACACAAAGACTGGAGCATGAGGGACACAAATGTTTAATAATGTTTTTAAAGAAAGTGGCACAGAATAATTAATTGCGATTTTGCACACAATGTGCCAATTTGATTGATAGTGTAATGTCATTAAAGCAAGTAGGATGAAGTTAATCAAATATGATTTAAAAAAACAAACTTTGATATATTTTCATTTTCTTATAAGAAAAATTTCAAAATTAAAAAAAAAAAAAAAAGAAAACCTAGTTTCAACTAGGAAAGAAAAGGTATCATTCTTTGAAGAATTCAAAGTTTTCTTTGGAAGAAGTCCTGTCAATCTGCACACAGGTTTTATTATACCAAATATTCATAAGCAATTCATGAGCATTCATAATTATTAAAAATCCTACTTCGTATTTTCTTTAGGTTTTCATGGTTCTTCCTGATAGCAGAACTGTGTGAAGAAATTGGAAGCTGGTTGCTCTGCCAGTTGCTTTGCTATACAAATGGGAGAACTAAATGCGTATTAACTAATCAAAGTAATCTCAGTTCTGTAGGGGCCTGACTCTGCAAAAGGAAGAAGGAGGCGGGGAGCTGGGTATGTGTGGTAAACTACTGAGAGCTGTTCAAGCAGCTCTGCTGGCAGGATCACATACCTATCTAATCTTTTTTTTAGGTCTCTTTTTGATTCTCTTTTTAGGAATCAATCTTAAATAGAAAAAATCACGTGCACTATGTAAGCTGTGTATATGTAGAAAGAAATACAGTGTATATGCATGAAATCTAACCTATCATCAGTGCCTCAATGTATAATACATGCACAAATGGAAGACTAGATCATACCATATGGAATGCAGTTTTTACCTAATAAAATTACTTTTTTCCTTTCATTAAAATCTGCCCTCCTACTGTTTAATGTTACAGAGATTTTCAAATAGAAAGTGCCAAGCTTTCTCCCACATATATTAACAGGCTTAGCAACACATAAGAGACTTGGTTCTTAATCAAAAAATATAGAATCACTTTATGAAAAACTGTAAAATATAATTTTGCACAAAAGCTGTTTTGGCAACACAAGTAGTAGTTGTTAGCTACAACACATGGAAGTCTCTGCCATACTATCAAATATAAATTTAGATAAGAAAAGTGGATGGGGAAAAAACAGAGCCAGTAAAGTAACCAATGTGCGCGGCAGAAAACAGTTGCATTTACAGTACTATCCAGCTTCTGGAGAGAAGCCAGAGACCTTCCCATGAAATCTTTCTGTGCTTTTAACACTGCTGCAAAGCTTTAGGGAATTCTAATTGTATAAACAGTTACGAGTAAATGAGATTCACTGTGAGACTATGTCCAGCCAATGGTAAAAATGATGATTGCGTCTCAGCATCAGTCATTTAGAATATGAACCTTCTGATTAGCAATTCATATGCATTTACCAAAATTGTCTCAAATTCAACCAGTTAGCAGTTTCTTTTCAGTCTGATTATACAGTAAGCTTCCCAAAGCTAAAGCATGTACAGTAGATCTCATTCTTCTGAAATACAGTTAGATGTTTAGTTGTTTTTTGATTTTAAATAATGCAAGTTCTCCAATATTTATATTATGATAAAATTCTAGTGCTTTAAAATCTGCCCTTCACACAAGCCTAAGCATACACATTTTAAAATTACTTACTGTACATCTTCATGTTTTAAGGCATGAACAATGGCATATGAATGGGAACAGCTTCCGGAAAAGCATATCTTTTTGACTAAGGCCAGTCCAAACACATCACACCAAAGGACTAACCTGAAGCCAGAAATGACAGTGTTGTGACCCAAGAGTTTTAACAAAAATAGTTGAAACAAAATGGGGTTTTTTTCTCTTTTTCTTCCTTCTTTTTTTTTTTTTTTTAATTTAAATTACATTACTCTTAATGTCTGTTTAAAGCACCGGTTGCAGTTTTGCATTTACCATCTCTTCCGAGTGACTTTGGATAACTCATCTGCTTCTTTTGTTCTGAATTTTCAGTGTATGAAACTTTAAAAGATTTCTGTTTCTTTTTTTTTTTTGTTTCTTTTTTTCTTTTTTTTAATGGCTGCTGCAAAATTAAAAAGATCCAGAAGTGGTCAGGGGCCTGGTCTAATGCACTTTCAGAAGTCCATTATAAAGATGAATATAAATGCAAATGATAGGTTTTTCCGTAGACCCATAAACCACGCTTAGCTATAAGAAACATATTGTGCATAGTTATTTTTTTCTTCAGAGTGATATGTTTACTAGATCTACATTCTCAGTTTACCAGAGTACTGGAATTTCTACTTTACTAAAGCCAGGATCCTTTCGTAGTTCCCAGTAGGTGTCATTGGTAACCCAGGCTTCTCTTTGATTAGCGTCAATAACTTTTCTGTAGAAAGGAAACAAAAAAAGAAGAGAGAGAGGAAAAAAAATTCTGACCATAAATCTCTGCTCTTATGCAATATGAAATCACATTCCATACCTCTCTGATCTAAACCAGTACTAAATCTGATTTCATATTTCTAAAGGACACAAGAACAATCAGGGATTTAAAAATAAATTCAACCTCTACCTGTGTTAAAAGTGGAAGGTTTAGAAAACAGCCAAGATCACAAATGCATTGTTTGATCTTTGTGAGTAGGTCTTAGAGCCACATAAAGCCTCTTTGCCATCACAGATTCTGATTATGTCCAGGGGATCAACCAATAGATCTAGCTTGAAGAATGGAAGCCTTTTTTCATTTATATTATTTGTCTCCTCTGTATTTCACTCATCTTCTACTACATCTGCATCGGGCATGTTCAATCTCTTCACTTTTGATTCCCCGTGGTAAACATTAGGCAATTTGATATGACTATCCCTTGTTTCAGAAGAATGCTTAATTAAAAACAAAAACACCCTGCAGTCAAAAATAAATAAATTGTATTAAGTGTGTATATCTATACATTGTATAGATATTGATACATATGTATGATGTTGTTGTTCAGGTCACTTTATTACTTTGTTTAAGCAACGATTTAAAACAATAACATAATTAAATCTTAGAACCTAATATTAATCTTCTATTCTACTAAAAAGTTCAAAAAACATTGGCCAAGGGGTGCAGCAGGCTTGCATTGATGTTGTCCATTGTGAGAAAATGATCTTTCAATTATGAAGCTTTAAACTATGCAAAACTTGCTTCAGGCAGAGATCAAGTACCTGATCATTTTTCTTAAAATTGCCATTTTCCAGGCTTTCACAATTAACAAACTACATTGGCGGTAATTCTTGTAGTACTTTGTCCGGTCACACTATAGAAAACAGGGATTTACTACTGAAATGAATAGACTCACTTAAAAAATTTGGGTACATATTCAATGCTGTTTTCTTCCATGTACCGCCTCCGACCTCTCTGGAGTTCCTCTATTCTTTGTTTCTCAGATGATGCCGCTTCTATATTTCCTTCCTCCAGAAGCCTGTATGAATAACAGCAGGTCCTATAGCAATCATACACCGTCTACAACAAGGGATTTTCTAGCACCAATATTCACAAAAGACAAGCAAAAGTCAAGCCCATTGTCTGTGTTGTACCTACTTTCAGATCTACTCATAACCTCATAAAATAACAATCAAGATGTGACTCTCCAGTTACATGTACCTGACCCTTAGGCTAAGGCATACACTTTCTTCAGTAACTTCAGCAATTCACAAACATTGAAGTATTATGAACTGAGAATTAGGAGGGAATTAATGTTGCTTCCATTCATAACAGAGAGCATGGAATTTCAGAGCCTGTCTTTCCAGTTAGTTATGAGGAATCGTACCTCTGCCCAAAGATTGTACTATAACTCTACTATACCAGCAAGATTCTTTCTACTTTCCCTCAACTGGGCAAAGCAGAAATTTGACTGCAATACTGAATACCTTCTCTGCTAACAGAATCCTCCAAAGTTTAGGTCAGACTCTAGTGAAGACACAGACAAAATTCAATACTCAGCCAAATTCAGACTTAAAACTATCAAATATTAAGTGTATAAATAAGCCTTCTTGCCTTTGATCTGGCCTGAATCGTGCATCTGTTGTAGGAAGAAGATCTTTCAGTAAAGGATCTAATTCATTGAGTTCAATAGCAAACCTCGTGAAGCCATAATAACGTTCATAATTGGTTGGCATGGAGCCTGTATGAATACGTATAAGAAAGAAAAAAAGCTTTTTAAACTATTACTCTAAATAAGCAAAAGATTCATTTATTTATTAAATTATAACAACAAAAATATTACTATATTTTACTCTTACATCCAATTAAAAAGCATCAAAAGCTATTCTCTAGGTGGAACAACATTCACTAAATATTAATTCCAACTGCTTATCCCGCTGAGGTTGTAATTACATGCTAATAGAGTCAAAACTTTCATGATCTTCCTTTTAAAATAAAATTACCATTTTCAAGATTTTCACATTAAACATAGTTTCCTGTTCTCCAGAAATTAGGCTTATCAAATGTCTGATCTTCACAGTTAATTCTGAAACATAATGCTCACACACAGGCTGATTCGGCACTGTCCAACACCTTCAGCACTGATGGTAATTAGAGTAAACATTGCAGAGAGTAGGGTGCAAAGTAGAGTTCAGAATACTGTCAATACAGAGTAAGGTTCAAAATACTAACAACAATGACAATTCATGGATAATCATTCTGCGTGTGTGAAAGATACTGTAGGTGCAAAGGATGACTAATTCAACTTCAGTCCCTCTAAGCAAGCAGTAAGGAAGATTAAATCAGCTCCTGAAATCACAGGAGCTCATCATCTCTGAAGACCAATCCTTTAGGTTAATACAGCATTAAGATGACAAACTCAATAAACAGGCACCTCCCATTTGTTGAATCCAAATAAGGCACCCTGCTCACTGTGAAAAGGTAGGCAGGCCCAGACGTCCAATCTTTTTCTTAATTTTTTTCTTATGCTGAACCCAAGACCCCAGAATATTTTACCAGGGGTCACACTGAGATGTAAGAACATTTCCATTTACCATTATTATGAACTCATATAAATTCTTGGGTTTACGTCTAGTCAGAAATTGAATCTTTCCAGTAGTATTTTGTGTATTTTAAATGATGGCTAAAGCAGCTTCACAGACTTTAGAGTTACACAGTGACTGCCAGAGTTTATTACAAGCTTCTTACCTGGCCTCCATATGCATTTGGCTGAAGGTGCAACCCCACAATAGAGGCCTTCATGCCACTTTCCAAAAAGGCGATGAACCACTTTCCCTTCTTGATCTATCACAACACCCTGGACCTCATTTACATTTGAATTCCAGTAGTTCACCTGCAAGTTTAACAATGAATTACTAGTTCGCACTGCTTTTCGCATTACCCATTGTACCAATCCTGTTACTGCATGAATCTTTGTATGTGGCATCAACTGTCCAAGTTTTGTATAGAACAGCTCACATGAAACCAAGAATATCAGAATTCCAAACTCAGATGATCTGAATATTAATTGATTTAGTATATGAGAAACCCCGAATAATTTGATATGTGGTTTTTGTATAAAGTTATTTAAATTATTAGCACAACTGTGAACTCTATTGTTCATTAACCCAAATCCCACACAATTCCGTAAAAATTACACTTTGCAAGTTACAAGATCAGAGCCAGCTAACTCTCTTCCTTCTATATGGAGAAATACTGAACATACCTGTACACACCCTTGGATGGGTGCTGCACACTACTTTTTGCAGCAGGGAAGATATTCAGCCAGTATTACTTGTTTTTTATTGCTTTCTGTTTCTCTTCTCTGATTTGCTTTTCTTAGACACATTTATTTCTTGTACCTTCACCTACTAAGCTAGTTTTCAGAAAATCCATCAAAACATGAATTTCAGATTTACAGTAATGCACCATTGCTAACACTGCAATGATACTGATGTATTTTTTTGCAATATGTAGACAAATCTATTTTTAGGGAAAATAATTGATAGCAACATAGCTATCAATAACAGTGATCTGTTTTTTATATGTGATCCTTGACTGGATGTTAAAATATTATGAACCAAAACAGCATTATTTAATCTAAAGAGATAAAATACTAACTGCAAAATTCTAGTAAAGGCAGAAGTACAATGGCACAGAAGTCTACAGTGACTTTGTGTTTTCATTGTGGTAATAGAAAAGAACTTCTGACATTTCGTTTTTAACCTAAAACCAACAACAGTATTGCACCCTGATATACAGCAACACACTGATATCAAAGGGTCAATGGAATAGTCATACTACTTGACACAGCCCTCTCATTTGACAATTTACATATTTATCAATGTTGATAAGACAAAATGTGTAATGTAGATTTTAGGAATATTAAAGAAACAGCTTTAAGTACGCTTAAACTATGCAGTTTTTATGAATACATGATATGTACTAGAATACACGGTACCTTGACAAATGTGAGTTTACAAATACAAACACTGCTTTTTGTGTTTCTGATAGTTATCTCTCCATAGTGTTCTATCCACCTCCTTCCACTAAGAATATTATGTATGCAAGTAGTGACTTTGTTCCAGACATAGTAGTCTCCATACCTAAGAACAAATTAACAAGTAACATACATTAATCATGATCATTACAGACAAAAGAAGTAAACATAGCTCCATTATCATAAATACAAGACCATATTCCTCAAAAACTTTTGAAACAATACCTTGCTTTATTAAAGCACTGTTTCTGTGTACATTACTAATCCTTCATATAGGAGCTCACCTAAACAATACTGCAGAGAACTGAAGTATGGTGCTATGAACCACAAATCAAGACATTATGAACCACCAAAGCCCTGCACAGCATATTCACTCTTCTCATAACATTATGTGCTTTCACCACAATTCCTTTAGGGGTAGGACTGTGACCCAGAGATCAACACAAGGCTGAATTGAGGCTATAAGCAGACAATACAATTAAATTACAAATAGAACAAAATAAATATGGAAAGGAGATAACAGAAAGGAAGTAGGAAGCAGGAGCTCACTGGCACATCATCCCTTTCCCTCTATAACAACTACTCAGAGTCAGAGCATCTCTATTGTCAAACAAGGGAATAAAATGAGAGAATTATATTGTACAAAGCACACTCTCCTGCAAAGCTGAGAGGCAAGCATAAAGACAGGAGACAAAGATGCTTCTGAGTGCATTTACCTCAATTTCACAAGATGGATAAATAGGTGGAGTGATGTCATACTGTTAGAGGCAGAAAGAAAGGCTGGCTGCAATGTACAGGAGCAGGAATAGTACTGGAAAACCAGCAGACATGTTTAAAGTATCCTCTCCTTGCATATTCTAAGGATTTACAACTTGCAACTAGTCTTACCTGTAGGGAAACTTCTTCTCACTACTCTGTCAACCTCTGAAGAGCATGTTTTGGCTTACCTACATTTTGAGAAATGACCTTATATTGTTACTAGTGGTTGTTCTGAGGTAACACTTACCAGTACGAAGAGCCTTAGTAAGGACAGCACTAGCTGCTGACAGTCCTGTATTACAGCCTTTTTCTGAACAGCTGGTCACTGTTCTACATGTAAAGCTTGAGTTCTCTCTCTTAAAACATTTCTATCCCCACCTGTCTATTGCTTTTTTCCTCCAAAAACCCAAATGGATATTCAGGCTCAAAAATGTTTCAGTATCCCTACCTGTACACTAAGGAGAGATTTGAGCTAGGCACTAACTCTCACCAGAACAATTCATGTGACTTCTGCATACACTCTCCCCCATGCCATTCAGAAGGTAATGCAGAGTAGATCGCAGCAAAGACTAAAAGCAAAAGAAAATAGGATGGTAGCTTACTTTGGAAGAGTCACATTCAGGGTTCCAACTGGCAGAATTTCCATTGATTTTCCCCAGAATTTGTTTTTCCACCTGATATCTGAATATAATAGTGAAAGATTTACAAAACTGAAAAGACCAGTCTCCCCCTTGTAGTGATCTGCATAGAACATGAGATGATCTGTGCTGGACCATCCAGTTTAAAACAGGACATTATGAGGTTGCCACAAAAATACAAAAGTAAAAAAAATACTAGAAAATGAAATTAAGTCAGAAAAACTAAAGATAAGTTTGATTCCCTTCTAGGAGTCATGTCTATGCTACACATTATTGTCAAATCTCTCATGAAAACAGTCTATACAAATTAAATGCATATGCCAGTAGATACAGGGAAATAAAGAGCTGCTTGTTCAACTGTGTAAAAAGAACTGCTTGTGTTTGTAAGAAATAAACTTCTTTGTAAAAAGCTTTTATGTAGAAAAGTATAAACAGATTGCAAATGACAAGGGAGTTGTAATGCATCTGCTCACTTTTAAGAATGAGAATTTGGAGTGAAATAACTCAGAGCATCATTTTGTAATATGTTACTATGAAAATAACAATTGTAGGAATTTTGAGAAAGTTGCAGATGCAAAGCTCAGCTTGCACAGACAAAGTTTTTACTTGTTAATAAAAAAGGAGTATACACTTTTGAATTAAAAAATATACCTTGCCAAAACACAAAGTTCTTCGATTCACAGTGACAGGCCGAAATGGGAGGATGGTGGCTAACCTGGAAAACAGTTTGGTTGAGTTAAAAATAATTCATTTTCATTTCTGAGACAATATAATTGTTACTGCAATATGAAAATACTAAATAGCCCACATTATTTATTAACCTATCTTGCTATGAAAACAGATGTAACTTAAGTTTGTACTTAAAACTCTGTGTACTGAAAACACTTCCTTGTGATTACTATAAAGATACATACCCTCCAGCATTTAATGAAGTTCACTCATACTAACAATCCTCTTTTACTACTAAGAAAGCAAACCATCCTAACTAGAAATAAAAAAAATGATTACTTTACAAAACAAAGAAACCAAAATCTGAATCTAAACAGAAGTGTCTATCTAGAAACAAGATTTACCTGCTCTGAGAAAAAACGAAATCCTTTGTCTTCTCTAATACATTCATAAGTTTCACCAAGCACTGGGTTAAATGGCTTGCTTCCTGCTCTAAAGTATGTAGAGGCATAGCCTGATGCTGCAAAAGCAGCTATGAGAACCTGTGAAAATACAGACAAAAATCTAAGTGAGCACAGGCATTCTTGTGTATATGCCATCACTGTATGGTACCACACAACTCACTCTACCCCGAGTGAAATCTGGATTAATGAAGCATGCTTGACAGTGAATCCATACATCCCAGCCAGAACCAGTATAAACTGCACGTCTTCTATTAAGATTTTTTTCTTCATGGCCTCAGTCAGTCTCTTTCAACAGTCCCCTAAAATAACAATCTGCACAAGATACTGGTTTTCTACCTTTGACCAGGCTTATCCCTAATGATCTAAAACCCAGACCCAGCTCTAGTCTATGGTCCCTATGAATAAATATTATATGAAAACTTCTAATAACAAGATCATATACCATTTTCCTATGGGAACTATTTTATTTAGTGTGAAATGGGTCTCACTTTGGATGTCGTTAATGCAGAATTATCTCAGGATTTTCCACGCACGTGTGGCCTTATCAGCCCCCTTATCTACAGGTACAACCAAAATTTAGGAATCTCTAAACCAGGCCTATCTGGGAGTAGTTAGCTAAATGACATGCCATAGTAATTTAGATTACAACTCCCTTTAGCAGAATTTAAAAAAAAAAACACAACAGGTACTCAGAAGTCCACACAAACTTCAGGAAGCAATACACGGATAAAAAAAAAATCACTCAGCTATGGATAATCTGCTAACTGTGGGGCAAGCCTTAACCAGGTCCCCCTCTCCTTATGTTAGCGAGGATGTAACACTCCTGTGAGCTTTTACATGCTTTGTTTTCTTCGCACTATGTAATGGGTGGTCAATTCTCTACTAATTTCATATTATTCATAAATACAGCATCAACAGAATTAACACTCTTTTCATGGACTTTTCTTCAACGGTAAAAACCTTCATTCTTACAAAACCTTTTAATGAGTTTAACTATAGGACACTACAGAGAAATTGGGGGGTTTACTAACCTTATTATAGACAGAACAATGAGAAGAAAAAAGTTTCCACTACTTTTGGATACTTATTTAAGATAGCAAAGTCCTGATCTTTCAGAGAATGGTGAAGCAGCAGGTAACCTATTCACAGCACTGCTACCACTGGTGCTTTGGATATTCAGCACTTCTGCCAAATATTCCCACATGCCTCAGCCTGGTATGCAATTTGCATTTTGGAGGTGCTTCTTAAAATTTTGACTTGTATCCCCAGTATTGCACTAGACAGCTGTAGCAGGGAAGGGGACTGAATCCACATTTCCAGGGAAGCTTTTGGTTACACTGTGGCTTTTCCCTCCTGAACTCTCCTGACTCCTTCAATACTCAGCCTCCAAGATTTTCAACAAAGGAGGAGCATCCTGCAGGCAGCCTGTTTTACTCAGTACAACCCTGCCCAGTCCTTACAGGATCTCCTTTGTATGAGGGGCATAAGGAGTCTTGTAGAAAAACAGCATGTGATGATAAATAATTCAAGCCCCTAGCATAAGGCAGATCCAACTTCTTCAGTGGCAAGGAAAAAATTACAATGTTTAGGGTCCCTCACTCTCCTGCAGGCCATGTGAACGTGGCAGTTCATAGACCTGTGTGTGTGTCTATATGACAGCCACAGGCAACCTCTCTTCTCCCAACTATCCACAGTGCTGCCAACCCATACCAGGGAACAGTACATATGTTCAGCAACAACACTGCAAACTTTCCCCTAACAGCCTTTCCCTGTGTCTTCTGAGGGAAAGGAGACAAGACAGATCAAAACACCCTGAGAGCTCAATATAGACTATTGGCTGTCAGTTAAAAAAAAAAAAAAACAAAAAAAAACAAAACATGCTTACAGGGAGCTCAGGGAGCTGAGATCAAGCTGCCCAGGCAAACTTTGTTTTAGTGTTTTGGAACTTCTCTATTAGAAATTGCTAGGATGACATCTTATTGACACCTACATTGATCATAAGCCAGCCACAGACTTGATTAGCTCCTGGAGGCTGCTGGGCTTGATCACTGAAAGCCAGGAAGGGATGCTTCAGGGTTAGAAACTGCCAATGTCTACATATACAGTCTCAGAGAGTGAGATTGGCCTTCACATCAATGAGTCACAATTGCAAGTCCAGAAATTCCCTCAGCCTTGTTCAGATCAAACCTACCATCTGTAATTGTTCACAGCATTTGTCTGACCCAGCAGGGAGGTCTGTTTTCTGTGAATAGGAAGAGCAAGAGAGGACCCTGCACAGACCTCCTCTCAACAGCTTCTTTTTTAATACAGACATAAGAAGTGCTACATTAAATTTATTACCATGCGTTCATAAGGATCATCTGTCTCAGCAGCCTTGTCCAAGAGTTCACTGTATTCCAGTTCTTCACAAAGATGTTGCAAGGTATTCAGAGGTTCATTTAGCTCAACTGGCATGGATACTTTGGAAAGATCTTTGCCAATATTATTTCTCAAAATATTCCACAGATTTATGTTACTGGTGTCAGGGCTGGGAGCTGGGAGACAAGTTCTCCGTCCATTCCTAAATGCACCTCCTGTTAGCTCACCATTAAGAACTGGGAAAGGAAAAAATTATTATCATAAGGAAGCACCAGATTAAGAAAAACAGACTCATCCATTGAAGCAAATAACCACCACAACAAGGTAGCCCAACTTCACTGGTTTCAACTGAGTTGGTCTTGTACAGACATGCAGTAAATCTGGTACATGAACATAACCAACATAATTTCCCAAAGTTTAAAAAATAGCAGTATACTTTGCCGGGAAATGTTGTCTGCAACACTGGTGTTGTCCTCAGATATGTTATCACTCACATCACTGATATAAGATTCATCATCAGAAGCCTAAAACATAAATAAAATATCAATTAAGTCAAATACATATAAAATATACGGACAAATTAGACAAAAATAATTAATTGAAGCATCTCTACCTAATTAGAACTTTAAACAAAATCAACTAGATGTTTCAATAAACCCATACTGACAACACACTAAGTGTCAAAACAAATGCTATGCTCTCCTTATGTTTCTGAATTCCTTATTATGAAGCCAAATACAGACATCAAATTTGCAAAAGGGTGACTTCAAATGAGATCAGAGATGAACAAAAAACTGACAATGTAACACGCTAGGGATGAGAGGTGAGAAGAGGTAGTCAGATTTGTTCTCTTTATATAAAACTAAACAATAAAATGCAGGTTGTGTTTCAGCAAAAAATTATATAAATACCAACCTATTGTTTTTCAAAACAAGAACTACATCAGTGTTTAGATGATTTTTAAGAAAATTTTCTTTAATAATTTTTTTTTCAGAGATATAGCTTTCAAAATATTTTACAATATTTACTGATGACACAGTATTTATTATAAGGCCTTCACCATTTGGGGGTGATTTTGTAAACATTTCCATTTTGTTTATAGCATACAGACATACCAATTTTCCATGCTGATATAGACAATCCAGACTATTGAAATAACATGTACTTTACACCTGCCAGAAGCAATAAAATAAGGAACCATTTTATTCTTCAGATGAACTCTAGCCGTGGTTCTGCCAACTCGTGGCACATGACAAATTCTTGTCAAATATAAAGTGTCACACACTTATTTCCTCTTACAGAATAGTTGTGGTAGATGGTTTCATAAAAAAGTATTTTTAAAAGTAAGTAAATTTTTAAAAATTAAGAATTTATACAGGGTAGCACAGGAAAGCTGTGGACAGCAAAATGATTTGGGAGTGAACTGTATCTGACTGCTTTGACTTTGAGCCTGAGTGAGGCGTTTTTTCAGGCTTTTGTCTACTTCTCTGATTACAGAGAATAACTTTATATTTACACTAGAAGACTTTCTTTAAAGAATATTTTAAAATCTGAATTAGTTGACTGCATAGTCAGACATAATTGCTCCTGTCTATGTCATCATTATCTGAAACTGCCAAGATCTAGCAAGGACATGTACTGAACATAAGCTACTGATACAAACAACGCAGTTTTACACTTCAGGGAACTTCTGCAATCTGTCACACAGGAGTCTCGGGTTTGTTTATTCTCATACCTTTTTATTCTAAGTAGCATTATTTTTTAAAAAAACAACTCATTAGTGGTTGCAATACCTAAACCTGTCCAATAGCAAAGCTGCAGCATGCTGTCATAGCCTACCTCATTTTCTGAAGAACTGGCAGACAGAAGCACTTCCTGTGCATCAAAGAACTCTGAAACGGATTCAGACATAGAGAGCCTGCTCTCATTAGAAACTTGCTGAGACAGTGGCAAACTGACATGAATTTGTTCACCCGTCTGTAAATAAAGCACAGAAAAATAAAGTTATTATTTCTAATATAAAAGAAATATTAATAGAAGGAGTAAATCACCTGAATAATTTTTCTGTGCACAGATAATAAAGAGCATTTTAGTAGGGCTTCATGTGTACCTAGCAGATGAGACTTTGACAATTAGAAAATAAAGTGCACTTTGAGCAGTGAGATACATGTCTTCATTTGAGGCCTACTTGGCATCAACTGCTAAGTTTTAGCAGTGTGAATATTCACAGATCTAGTTTTATACCCAGAGGAATGATTTTGTGGACAATAGCTGGATTGTGTCAGACAAGTTCAACCATGAAACTCAGATGAAAAGAGACCTGGTCATAACAAATTACACCGCTGGGAGCTAGCTCTGCAAGAACCAAACCTCAAATATAAAGCTTTATAAGGTCAGGGAGTTATAAGTTACTTTCAAAATAGATGTGTTTGTGAACCAATTTAGTAACAAATGTTTTAACTGTTTGAATGTTTAGGAGGATGGCTGTAATTTACATTTATGTAGTTTTATTCCGTGTTTGTACTTCAAATCTTATTTAAATTATGCCATTAACACTGACTCAATACTACTGAAGGGAATGAACTCTCTATGGTTTATTATAAAGAGAATTTAACAGCAGAGGCAAGGGTTCAAAATTGTGTTATGTGTATATCAGTAGGGGGGAAAGCTAATTTAAATAATGGAACAAATCTTTCTCTTCCTGCTATTGATGGGAAGAACACTAAGTTTCAACATGTTACCCTGCACGCTATCGCTTTATGAAGGGGAGAAGAAACTAAGATTCTCTCCCTGTACCATTCCACCAAAGGAGCTGCTGCTGTGGAGGAAAACAGGATTCTGACTTAATCCCTTAATTTATACAGCACATTGCTTCTGGGAGAAAATACAGACAAAACTACTGAAGACCTTCTAAATATTTTTAATTCTTCAGATTGCAACTCCATCCCCATTAATCTTACTACAGAAGTCCTGCAAATGATTTTGTTGACATCTTAATCCTGTAGAATTATTCTATATAGTTGCCTCATTATGCACTAACAACAACAACAAAAAAAAATCATAAACAAGCCAAGAGTTCAAAAACCATTCCTTTTTCTCTGCGGTTTATAAGCTTGTAGATGGTTTATGAAGTTTGTTGAATTATAGTGGAAACAGAAGCTCATTTCACTGTTATCTTTGCAGCAAGTGATTAAGCCTTTAAGTTTTTGTATGAGCTAGAGGGACTTGGAAAAATACATATGCCACTACCTGAAAAAGATGCTCACACAGGCGTTATCTACACATTGCAAGATTATATATATAAAGCAATCAAGAGAAGTGAATGAGTGACCTGAGAACATCTTTGAAAAGCTCCTTCAGTCAGACAAACTTGTATCAAGATAATGATATACATATGAGAAAGAAACAGCTAACCAACAAAATATACAAAACAGAAGAGATGTTCATTGCTCAGAACTTCACTGCAGATTGCTGTGCTGTGGCCCCACTTCACCTCTATCTTCTGTTGTTAGTCTCCTACATGCTGGACAATTGGAGAAATTGTTTGGACATTTTCAAAAAGCAAATAAACAAAAGTAATTGGAAACATATTTTCACCTTCTTTTCTTGTTGGAAGAAATAATTAGGAGGCAAGAATATGTTAATTGAAATGGCATATGCATAGAAAAAAAATAGTGGAAATGACAAATGAAAAATATTTTGGTAGAATGTAAGCACTGGCTGTCAAAATGACCACATTAATTGTAACATATTACAGCTTGCAAATTCAGATTTGTCCTTCTCATGATGGAAGCTGATTTGTTATTCATACAAATGTTCAGTAAACTGTTGACTGAGGAGAGCAAAACAAGAAAGACTGGATATTGCAAAAATAGTATTAATATAGTGCTTGGTTCATAGAATGAAACTTTTGATTTCAGCAGTGCCACTCAAGATATTAAACACCAGGTCCTTTGAGCACTTGCAGGATCAGACCATCAAATATAAAATTGTTCTGTTGACTTGGCAAGAAACTAAGATACAAAATTGGTTAGCTACTGTGTGTTGCATTCAAATACAGTAAAACCTCACTAATTCCCACAGTCAACAATTAATATTCCAAAACCTGAGTCCTTCCCTGTTTCTCTGCAAAGACCAAACCAAGTTCTTTCATGAGATCTGACATATGCAAAATAAAAGACATAAGTTTTATTTTATGTAGGCAAAACTTAATCTTATTTTTTCTGTAAATGAACACCTGCCAATCTGAAAATTCTATAATTTGCTAGGTATGTTTCAGCTATCAGTGAGAATTAGCAAGGTTTGATTGTACTCTAAATCCATTAAAGCCCAAAGTCTTACCTCATCAGGACTAGGGATAATATTTACACTGACAACCTGATCACAAATAACAGATTCTGAATGTATTCTGTTCAAGCGACTCCTTAGTTCAGCATTCTGGTTGAGAGCCTTAAAATAAAAATTGCACATTTCATTTAAAATTAAAAAGTAAGAGTTAAACAGTAAAAAAAAAAAAAAAAAAAAAAAGTAGCTTCTTCCCAGCAATTTCTTAAGATATCACAGAACCTAGTTTCTTCAATTTTTAGAGAAATACCTATTTTGAGATCCTCTCTACCATGATTTAATCTTGTGGTTGATTTACCTTCAGTGACTTTCAGGAAGCAGGGGGGACAGGTATTCTGCCACAATGTAACAGTGGCATTTTACCTTAATTCTTCAAATAGCTTTTTGACAGGCATACTGGTAGGTTATATACAGTATGGAAATAGGAAGTCAATGCAGCAAGAAAGAAAGAAACTGCGGAACAACAAATGGGAACTACCTGCAAAATGCCAAAGAGGCAATTTTTGTATTACAACTATACATCCCTATCTGAACCAAGGTTATCAGCACTTAGAGCCTGCAAAAGGAAATTGCTTCCTTTCCATCAAAAACAACATAATTGCTAGTATCATCGGGTGTTTGTCCATCCAGATCAATTTGATATATTTGCATGTGTGTACTCATTTCAAACTCCTGATCCACCAGAGTGTCACAAATGCCAACAGAATTCAACTGGTGTCTAGTATCTGCTGATTTTTCTCCTTTTTTAAAGGCCAATCTAGATTATAAATTTGGGTACATATATACATATTGTCTGTTATCTAGAAAGACTCAAGTGCAAGATTCTGATACCCAGGAAAAGTATAATATGGTACATCCCTAGAACATGAACTGACTTAACCCTAATATATCCCCAGCACTGAGGATTATAGAAAAGAACAGAGACACATACTGGTTTAGTACAAAACAACTGTTACAATAGAGTAAGAATCTTCTTCTGTCTCCCCCTAGTGCAGATTTAGGAACAGATGGCATGAATGTACTGAAACAAAGTACAATCAAAATAAAATATGTTAGCTTAAACTGTCACTAAACATTTTAAATTACCCCATTTTGCTTTGTTCTCAAACTGTCTGGGCATATTCACAGTTGCCATCTACCAGGAACGGAAGGTGATGACTAACAGCAGCCTGACAGTAGCTACTCAAACTGCTCCAACCTGATCATGAGGCTAGTCATACCCATCCTTTTGACTAAGACCAAATTTCCACTTATTCCCCTTTGAGGCTATGAACTAATGCATGACAATGACTTTTAGACTGACACTGTAGGCCAGGAGCAGGAAGAAAACATGATCACCTATTTCATACAAGATGCTAATGTCTCCACAGGTCTTAATTAAATTTGTATCAATAACCAGAAATGTTTACCTTTATCTCTTGTCCTTAACACATAGTAATCAATCTGCATAACATGATATGCATCTGTATCTACAGAAACACTGTGCATCAATTTTCATCTCACAGCAAAAACCCCCAACCCAATAACAGTAACAATGTATGAAATTATATATACATCTGGGTGAAATTCTGTTTGCCTTTAAACCACTGTGCATTTTTCTTGCAGATACAGTACTCCACACCAATACACTGTCAAGAGTAAAAGCTTTTATGTTTTCTTGATAAGGAATTAAAAAAAAATAGTTATTTTGCAGCCTGAGGACTTATTGTCACTTTACCTCTACCTCCCCACTAAAGCCAATAATTTTTCCTTTGGTTTAAGTGGGAGAGACACTGGACAGTAACAGGTGTGTATCTGAAAATCCAATTTAGCCATGATACTCCTGTAACCCATGATTCCTTTTGCAGTTAGACACATAGACATATTAAAAAAAAAATATCTGAAAATATAGTCAAAATTTAAAACTTAGTTAAGAAAAAAAGTATCTCCTTGGCTGTGCTGGAAACAGCTCCAGGAAAGATATCTAACAATTGTATAAAAACATTTAATCCTTTTTCTTTACTTTGGAAAACCATAACAGATACATGCTTACACAAACATGATTATCCTTCACCTCCACATGCATTGAGGTTAGACCTATGTCATAAAAGAACATATGTCATAGTTCTGGTTAAGAACTTGTCTTTTCTTAGCTCCTTCTACCTCAGGAAATGGCCAAAATACAAAAGAAATAGTGCATCTGGTAAGCTAGATGTGCTTGAAATCAAATCAAGAACATACCTGAGAGAGGGACTGTCTGAGGTGTGCTATTTGAGCATTGTGGCCTGTAAGATCCTGCTCTGAAACAATCTGCTTAAGCTTCTCCTTCTCTATAGCTATGCTGTTAAAGGCAGACTTCAAAAGAGAATGCACTAAGCAAAAAGAAGAAAGAAAACAAGTGTTTTCTCAGCTACAGAACTTCATATTGACATCTATTACAATATTTCAGCAACAAAGGCAGAGAGATTTCATTATGGAAACTTTAAACAAGGATCTGAACTTCAAGTAATCTATGCCAAATTAAGCAGAAACACTTACAGTTTGAGGTTGTAAAGGGCATAGTGTATGTTCATATATATGTCTTCTGAGTTATTCTTAGTGATGAATGTATGGAAGGATGTATATTTGGAAAACGTCTGTCCAATGTGTTCTTTTCTTTCTGTTTTTTTCATTTTTATTTTCAGATTAACAAAAATATCCGTTCTGTTGATACTTAATATTGCACTAATAAAGATGATTAGTTGGTCTTTAAACAGGTTTTGGACATTTTTAAGATATCAGTATCACATTTTTTCCTATGTTGGTTATATAACAGATAGCAAACTGATAACAAGCCCCTTTTAAAATAGTATTTTTCAGTCTGCAGGACCATTCATTTATTGGCAATAAAATGGCATTTCTAATGTACATTCTAGTAATAAGCTCTTCTGTTGTTTCCACTGATGTATAAAACATTGCACAAAAATGAATTGTATAACATTATATGTAGCAGTGATATTCAGATTGATCTTTGGGGAGAAATAAAACATTTTACTGAGAAACAAAATGTTTGCAAATTCAGTCACATATTTACAAGATGCAAAAAAAGTAGTTCAGAAGACTTCTAAAAAAATCTCTTAGCAGAGTTTACCTATCTCTATATTCACAACATTCTCGAAAAAATATAAGAAGGATAACACACTTCATCTTTATGTAAGCCACCCAACCAGCTAAAAATTCTTATACAATATCTTCTAATGCAGATGAACGCCCTGGCCATAACTAAGTGAAGGAAATAAAGAAACACAACAGAGAAGCACAATAAAGGAAAGGCTTGACATTTCCACTTACCTTTTTGTGCCATCAGGCAGAATTCTTCTTGAAGCTTCATGTACTCAGTAGAGCACTCCAGAGGGTCCGTTACATGGCTTGGGGGAGTCTGAAACTCAATGTCTGCACAAAGGTTGGGATTGGATGAATGAAGTCGAACAGGTGACATTGTAGCACTGAAAGGGACCTACAGCAAGAAACAGTGAAAAAATACTGTATAAGGTGCAAGCCAATCTTATGACTCCGCTGAAGCAAAATACAAATTTCTGCTGAAAACAAAAATACTTAATTCATAATGTGAAGAACATAGTAAGAGTGAACATGTAACTTTTTACTCTCCTAAATCTCCACAAAGCTGATGCACAATTCTCTTGAAATTTTTCACTGAAACAGACAAAAGGCACAAATATATAGCTAACGGCTAATAGAGAATTTAAATTTTAACATTTACAAAAATTAACCATTTTCTAATGCTTAAAAAGATGACTGGAAAATTGAACCATGATACATGCTGCTTTATATTTGGACATTTGAGAGTACATATAGTATGACTGTTGTTACAATACCAACATCTAAAGTATGCAAGTTCCTCCACAGATATAGAAAGAGAATATAATCCTATCAAATATACCACTGAAGTTTTTCAAAACTACTGGTAAATCTTGAGTTGAAACTCACTGTACTGGCGACTGTGAAGAGGGAAAAAGCATAGTCTTTCTATAATCTTTCTAACTAAACAAATAACAATCAAAAAAAAAAATCAAAACTCCACCTGATTTTCATTTAAAGTACATGGACCATATACAAATACAAAGAGATACAGTTTAGTAAGATGGAGAAAAGAATTTAGTTTCACTTCTCTTAGAAGTCTTTAGAATTCAATTCTTTTTCTCCTTTACTTTTCAGGTACAGTAATAAAAACACACATGAAAGTCTTTAGAAGTTATATACATATTTATCATGTGTACTGAACAGTTACCTACAAGCTACATATGCAGTGCATGGCTACCACTGCTATATATGTGATATGTGTGTGTAAGTGTATGTAATATTTTATTTTCATTTTACCATTTATACACATTTGTATAAAAATCAGGCCAAGAACCCAGTTTTCAAATTTAAATGCAAAGGAAAGGCATGCAGGATTACATTTTGTTACTTAAATATTGAACACTATTAAACACGTTGAACACATGAAATCTAACTTAATTCATTATGTTGATCAAATGTAAAAATCAAGAAAGTCCACGCTGCAGCCCAATGTAATTCTTCAAATATGAAAAATGGGGCCAAAATATAAAATGTGTCTTCCAAGGCATGATAAAGAACAGCAGAAAACGTAAAAAGTCATATTACTAAGAATTTTTATCAACAGGTAAGTTCTATACTACCATCTGTATTTGAAATTGGTACCTTGTTATTTGATTAGATCAGGGAATGGTTTATCAATCCCTTCCTCTAAAAGTTGGCATCAATATATGTTTTAGGTTTTTGATTCCCCAGTGAAACCCTCAAAAACCTGTTGGATCTATTCATTACATGTCATTCCACACATAAGGATATTCTGCAAAATACGATTTTCCATCCCGATCCTCCTCAATTTCCAGATACATATAGCACATAAAATAGCTCTGCAGCACCTAGCCAGTATAAACTTTATTCTCTTGGGTATTTTGATTTCCATCTATATCAACAAAGTAGGCATTTTTTATTGGACACCATTTTAGCTTCATATCAAGAAGACTTGCTTAATAGGAGTTGTAGAATAAATTTTATTCATACTGGACATTTACCCCATTATTTTCTTCATGAGTACCGGACTGCCTCTCTTAACAGCCCAACAAAAAGATTAATTGACTAACGAGACTAAATGTAGCCTAATTTCAAGCTTCCTTTACAAAACATTTTCACTTCTTAAATCGGAGAGCATGTTCCCAGAACTTTCTGGCTGGGAACACCGCAAAGGTTCAGTTGCTCCAGGTGGCTCCAGGAGGGCAGAGTAGGTGGCTACATGATAGCTGTGTATGCAGGGAGCACGTACCCAACCCACCAGGCAGGAAAGAAAGCTGATCCCAGCTATAATGTAGGAGCTTGAGGGAGACACACACACACACACACATGCAGGTCTTTGTTATGAGCGTAACTGAAGAGACCTGCTTTAGATCCATCATTTCTGCCTCATACCTCAGCTGACCAGGCTGAAAAGTAATGTTTCTGCAGTGAGGTTTATTGGAAAAATAACATTTTAAAGTATGCCCTAGAAACAGCATTTACACATTCTAGAAATACTGTCACACTGCTTGCAAGAAATATGCATTCACATGACAGAGACAAGTAGCTGCTTTGCCGACTGCTTTAAATGCAAGAACCAAAAATACTAAACTGTTGACTGATAGAAACTCTCCTCATATGCATCTTTTTAGAAAAGTTTCCAAGCTACTTTTCACAACAGATAAAAAAATCCACATTGAATAAACTCTTTCATTCTTTTGAATAGGCAACAGTCCAAGAAACACCAACAATGCACTTCTCTACCCCTTTTATCCTTTCACTGATGTGCTGCTTCTCTATATGCATGGTGACTTGATTTTGACTTAATTACCTATTCTTTTTTTTAGTTGTTTTTTTGTTGTTGTTTTGCAGGGGTTTTTTTAAACATTTAACTTCTTGATGCATCACTCTGGTTTCCTGCCCACACACACTCTTCTACACATGACTGATTAACATCATTGTTGGTGACATAGACAATGGGATTGAGTGCACCCTCATCAGGTTTGGTGATGACACCAAGCTGTGCGGTGCAGTCGACACGCAGGAGGGAAGGGATGCCATCCAGAGGGACCTGGGTAGGCTGGAGAGGTGGGACTGTGCAAACCACGTGAAGTGCAACAAGGCCAAGTGCAAGGCCCTGGACATGGGTCAGGGAGATCCCAAGCACAAATACAGGCTGGGCAATGAGTGGATTGAGAGCAGCCCCTCAGAGGAGGACTTGAAGGGTATTAGTGGGTGGAAAACTGACTGTGAGCCAGCAATGTGCACTCACAGCCCAGAAAGCCAACCGTGTCCTGGGCTGCAACAAGAGAAGTGTGGCCAGCAGGTTGTGGGAGGGGATTCCCCCCCTCTATTCTGCTCTTGTGAGACCCCACCTGGAGTTCTGTGTCCAGATCTGTGGCCCTCAACATAAAGAAGTAAACCTGTTGGAGCAGGTCCAGAGGAGGCCATGAAGATACTCAGGGGCCTAGAGCACCCTCCCCTATGAGGACAGGCTGAGAGAGTTGGGGTTGTTCAGCCTGGAGAAGAGAAGGCTCCAGGGAGACCTTATAGTGGCCTTCCAGTACTTAAAGGGGGCTACAGGAAAGCTGGGGAAGGACTCTTTATCAGGGAGTGTAGGGATAGGACACGGGGTAATGGCTTTAAACCAAAAGAGGGTAGATTCAGGTTAGATATAAGGAAGAAATCCTTTACTGTGAGGGTGTTGAGATGCTGGCACAGGTTGCCCAGAGCAGCTGTGGCTGCCCCCTCCCTGGAAGGGTTCAAGGCCAGGTTGGACGGGGCTTTGAGCAGCCTGGTCTGGTGGAAGGTGTCCCTGCCCATGGCAAGGGAGCCAGAACTAGATGGTCTTTAAGGTCCCTTCCAACCCAAATAATTCTAAGACCTCAGTTGTACCTTGTTGTGACTTTCTGCTTTACACCAGGGGCATAATACACACTCATCCATCACCTTCAGAATTACATGTTCATGTAGGAACAAACTGTTCTTGGTAGAGTGGGTCGTAAGGAAAACCTCCTTTTTCTGTCATGCATTTAACTGATGTAATCCTGTGTTCCTCAGTCTATACACACAGACTCTCTTTCTGGGAGATAAAAGCACTTTGCTACATCAGCCAGGACAAACAGGCCATTGTTATGACCACAGCCACAGCTGCAGTGTCATTTTGGCATCTCTAGTTTTCCTTCCTCCTGTACGTTTTTCAGCTCCTGAAAGACCTCCCTCAACAGGCCCCCACTTCAGCTACAGGTAACAACTAAGAAATTCCCTGCACTCCTACTGCCTTGCAATCTAAGTCCAGCTGTATTTGCTCCACTTGAGCACTTCTTGGTACAGCTCTTGCCAATGCTGTTTAACTACTGCTGAACCTACTGGTTAGAGCCTCCCACTGATATTGCTCAGCCACATAAACTGGTGGTTGATTTCTCTGCTAGGCAGGCAGACTGATGAGGTCAGAATATCAATCAATTATTGAGCACAACATTCAGTGTCGACTGATTACATGGGATTAAATTCAGATGAGTTAATTTGGGAAGTGGGGAAACACTGATTTCTCTCATGCTTTTTTAGGAAGACTTAACAGTAACAGGTTTGTGGTCCAGGTAGCAGGAGCTTGAATTATTCAGCCTTAAGCAGAAGCTCTGTTTGATCTAGGGGATTTTAGCTATGGGCTAGAGCAGCAGACCCTGAAATACTTTAGCCTGGTGAAGACATTCACTGCTTGAGCTAGGTAAGGGTCATGCATTTACAGCTCACTTCATTCTTTGGCTGCACAGTCTTCCCCATCTAGCTGTTGCACTAATCATAAAATGGATGCTACTAGTGTCTATATTGTGTACTTCTAAAAGTGCTTTCCTGATAAAGCAGCAGCTGAAGACATCCTTTTGATGATAATTTGATTTCATAAACATCACTTTCCCCTCCCAACTTCCAGCCCCTGTGTTGATTTCATAGCTCCACATTTTGCATCAAAGACTTTGAGAATTAGCAAAACTAAATACAGAGACTAAAGGTAGTAATATGACTTTTTGGGATTATGGAATGTAAACAGAAATTGCCTCAAATGAAAAGGCTAACCTTATACTACTTTAAAATAAATTAAAAAAAATAAAAAAATCAGGAAATCTTGTAATTCCATAGTTGTTTGTAACAAATCTTGGTTCTGCTGTCTTGCTATAGACTGTCATGAGAATCTTTTAACAGGATTTAATCATTTATTTCCATTTTCTATGGTATATAGAAGAATATGTCAAAGACGTTCAAATAGTGCAGGGCCTGAGTCTAACAGTCACTTGCACTTGCATGAAGGAGGGACATGTAGCATGTAAAGAAGCTCAGACCCACATTTACGGATTTCATTTGTCAGGCCTGACCACTTCTAAGAAACTCAGCTGAAAGTGGGTAGCATGGACCCCTCCAAAAAGTGCAAGAAACGTTTTCATAAGCTTATTACACATTCAAGTTACACAGCTTCCCATCTTTATAGCTATCCCTTGATTTTTAAATCCACTCACTGTTGTAGCCACTGCAGCTGCTAGTCTCTGCCGGCGTCGTGTTGTGCTGAACTGGCCCTTCGGTGCCGGCCCTTCCTGACAGTGAATGCAAGAAGAGAAGGAAGTAGAAAAAGAGAAAGGAAGGGGTGATGGGACACAGGAAGATGAAAGGTGATCAGAAAAGGGAGAGGGAGAGTCTTTAAGTGGATTTCAATTTTGTTAACTCTTATGGCCTACACATTCTGAGGACATATGACATGTTTTCAGCTGTGTATACCAGAGACACAAAAAAGCTAAATACTTCACTAAAAATATCTCCAGATGAGTTGGACTGCAGTGCACTCACTAAGACTATTAAAAAAAAATTAGATCTATTAGTATTGCCATTCAGAGTCATAAGGCAATTATGGAATAAGAAAACAAAAAGGATGCTATGGCATGGCAGAAAACACAAAACCCAAACTCCTTTGGGGGTCACTTGACCATCTAGAAGATGAATTCTGAAAGCGATCACTTTGCATGGACTGTGGTTATTGAAGATGCATGCATCTCAATGGTAAAACTTTTCAGCGTGTATGTTATAGTGAGATTGTTTATGTAAACATTCCTGTGCACAGCTCTATCACTTCCACGCTCATCCTTGAGCCTATTTGTTCATTTTCTCCACACACCACTTTTTTCTGAGTTTCAACTACTTCTGTACATTACTGAAGACTTCGCTTCCAAAGCAATATAACTCAGATAAAGCAGCACAAATGAAAACCCAGTATTGCAACAACTAATTCCTTTTCTACATGCCAAACTTGTGGCCTCAGCCTGTTTAATTTCACTTTTATCTTAAGAAAATTCATCATGCTACATAAAGACAAGCAAGTAACTGTCTAATGCAGAGGAGTTCCACACCTACCATAAAGTCCTTCTATTTAATCTGTAATAAAAATGTCAATGTTTTGAAGCCATTTTAAGATTTAAGACTACTAGAAGCCACCTTTCTGCTTTAGAAAAAATTTTAAGTTCCTTTACATTTTTCTTCCACTATACCTTCACCCATAGCCACCTCAGAAATCTATATACATTTTCACTTTTTCTGAAAGTAGTCTGGGTGCCACGTAAATAAAAGTGGTAGAGATTGGATACGTGGACGCCATGATGAAGAACATGATATTGTAGTTCAAACATTAGCTGAAGTGTCCTGCTTCTGTAACATTCCCACTGGTAGGGTTGCTGCATCTGAGAATGGCCATACCCTCCACCCTCTGGCTGATACTAGCATCAGTGCTACTGACAATGGAAGGGTTGTCTAATGATCACAATAAGAGATGCCTTGCTTTGTAATATTTTGTAAAATTCTCACACTAAAAAACATATACATAACCTCTAAAATATAGAGTACAAACTTTGTTAAAGTCAAGAATACATCATATACATAATGTAAAGCTCTTGGTGTTCTACAGAAGTATGCCTACTCTGTAAGAGTTTGGAGGAATATTTTTGTTTAACTAATAAGGACATACATAAATATATATATGTGTACAGAGAGAGAAACATGCACAAATATATAGATCTCTCTGCAAAATTATGAATGCGGGTGTACATTATTGAAATACAAGCAATGAGCTCTGCAGAAGCACAGAATCCTCTCAACACAACAGAAAGTGAGGTCATAATCTGAGTTATGATATAAAGAAATATTTAAAGGAAGAGATAATAAGCCAGTCTTTGGGTCTGGTTTCATTTCTGAGCTGCAAGCTTCAGTAGAGCAAGACTTTTCAGGTTGCTCCATACTATATAGTTCTCTATTAAAATACTCCCACCAGGGGGAAAAAAAAAAAAAAAAAAAAAAAAAAAAAAAAAAAAAAAAAAAAAAAACCAGTCTTGGAACTTCATAACTCTGAGTTTTTGAAGGAAATTAAAACAACATTAGTTCATTTTATTGCTTTTTAGTTATTTTTTTTCTCCTTTTAAAGATCTTTAGATTGTCATGAGCATGACAAATTGGTCTTTTTACCCAAGGGGTAAAAAAATAAAAGCCACAAACACCCTCAGTTTTGTACAAAAGCATAATTTTTTAAATTAATGAATACAGGTCAACTAACCTGTTGTTGCTGGCCATTTTCATAAGACTTTAAATGGCTTCTTAAAAACAAATAAACCTCCTTCATAAAAGTAATCTTTCTTCAGAGAAACAGTCTATATATTACTCTTGAGTAAAGTCCTGTAAATTAAGCTGTTAATTCTCAACAATTTAGCAATAATAAACCCCCAAGCCTGCAAATATATACACATGTGCTACTCACAATTTTACTTCAGGGAGTAACCCCACAGTAGTCACTGGGATTAGCTGTGTGAGCAAAGTTAAATGCATAAAGAACTGGTGTACCTAATTGATAAATATATTTTTCTAAGAAACAAAGAAAGCAGCTTTTCTTAAAAGAAAAAGTGTGTTTTAAACATATTATACATGTAGCATTCATATTCCAGAATGTATTAGCAGGAACACAGCTAAAGCTATCTTCCTAACAGAAAAAACAGTAACAAATACAATAAAAAATTTGAATGGGAGAATACACTCTGCATCTTACACAGCTGATGCTGAGCTAGCAAAAATTATACCCTCATTCCCCATTATCCATGAACAAGACACTTATATACAGAGCTCTCTAGTTTTCACACTCCCCAGAAAGATGGCTCTCAACATCATACTATCAGAGGGTATTTTGATGGTAGTTAATGACTGCTCATTCTAAAATAAATAGGTCCAAGTATTTCAAATTAAATTAATAGTGCAATGAGTTTAAAGTTAGCGTATTAGTACTATCATTATCCCCTAAAACTAATGAGACTTATGGAGGCATGGGAAAAGAAAAAGGACAACAGAAGTTTTCTTAGTACCAAACGTCAACCATTTAATAGCAAATTATGTGTAGGCACCATGAAGAAATAATCAGAAATTAGAGAAAGTGATTTTCAGTAGTGGATGCCCTCATAAACAGTTTATAAAGAGTTGGAGTAGTCTCAAAAAAATTGCCCATAAGGAAGGCCACTGAAACTAGAAGGAATGGCTAACAGAAGCACAAGACTGGATGGCAAGCATAAAAAACACCTAGGCATGGGAGAAAATCCACATTTTAATGGAACAGCAAGAGGAGTAAATTTGGAATAACACAAAGAGTCAGTGAGGCCATCTTCCACAGATCACAGCTTTAAATCATTCATGGGACAGTACAGCCCTTGGAAGAACAAACAATGTGTTAAAGCCCATCAAACTAGGCAAGATAACAGAACAGCCAAAAAGGAGTTGTCGTCTTCCATATAATTTAGAATATTTTTATTGTTTCTGTTTCACTGCAAATAATTTATAAATCAGTCATCAATAACTTAGTGTTTTCCAGCATTAAGTTTGCCAGGAGTTAATGCTGACCCAGGTTAGGCAGAGTTCATTACCGATTGAGAAGTGACAGACCCATGTAGAGCAAGCAGTGCTATGCACACTAACTCTCTCAGGGAAACCTTCAAACTGACTATATTTGAGAATTTCAGGAGCTGAGGCACAACTCCTGCCAAGACATGAACAGGAGTTTGAGAGTCAGGTGCCAAAATGATCTAAGTCCAGACCAGGGTCACTTTGGCAAAGGGCAGACAACAAAGGAAGAGCTCATAATTCCTCACGACCCACCCTAGATCATCATACATTGACTGCTTCCATAATTTTTTAATCATTTTTGTGGAGAGGAATTTCTTGGGGACCACTGTGGCATGCAAGAAGAACATGCAGTGTTGACTGTGTCTTCATAGGCCCCATGTACTTGTATCCATTTTCCTGATATTTTTATTTGCCTATGTTATTCAGCAGCAGAGAAACACAGTGATCCTTCAAATGCAGGTAATAGGACATGATATCAATCACCAAAATTCCTCTGTTAATAAACCATTTTAATCCTAACAGATGCTTCATTGTTCAACCTATTGTGATTTATCTAGTACAACAGGTAGAAAGAAAAATCACTTACAACAGCTGCAATGAGAAAGCTGACTCAATTTCTACAATTCCTTTTTTTCCTTAAGATTATTTATCTTAGATGGGTCACAGAGAGCTCCTTACTTGCCTCTGAGTCACAGAAAACTCCTTATTGTGTCTCTAGGGGACATATTAAATCCTTTCAAAGTTTGCATGAATTTCAAGGAATTTGAATGCATCAGAAGTTGCTGACATTTATTTATTCTGTAGCAGACAGCACAGTGGTGATTGTTAGCTCCTTAAGTCAGATGAATACAGTCTTCATTATCAGTTGCTCAGTTATAAAAAAGATGAGGTTTTGGATTAGGCCTCAAAACACACAACTACCTCTGACAAAACACAGTAAAACACCCTGTATCTAGCAGTAATAAAAGTGTAGTATGCTTATTTCTGTGCTTTTACTTTTCAGATCTAAGGCAGGATAGGGTAAATACTTTCTTCGCATAATTTATTCTTTGATTTATTCAGTTTGTTCCCATACTAGCCTTTTACATAAGAGAAGGCTTGCGAAAATACTTCTCATTGGTAACATTCCTATATACATCTTTACAAACACAGCTGGTGTGTTTTGTGTTTTATTCATGTCTTCTGCTTTTAGATTTGTGTCACCTGCTCAACTGCCCCTTCTTGGCAAGTCTGAGATAGAACACCAGTATCCCCATGTGCTGCATGCATACTGCCTCTTTTGCACCTTAACTGACTCGTATCCAGATCCCCCTCCTTTCCCTAGATGGCAATGTTTTCATATGAATGAACATAAAAATCAACTTTTTTGTCACTATCTTCTCTAGGTTTTAAACAACAAACTGAGATTTAATTTATTTCATCAGGAACATAAGAGACAGTACACTGACTTCCTACTTTCAGCTAATATATTATTTCATGCTTAAAAGTTAATCTAAAAGTACAAAGTAAAACATTGTGCATCCAGTACCTGAAGTTGAATTTTTGCATCTTTGCTGACACTTTTTGTTCTCCATCGTCTCGTGACCCGCTTGTCTTTCTTTGAAATATCTACACAGTTAGCCTACATTACACAAATAGTTAAAAGCAACAAAGTACTATTAAGTTGACACAAGCAACACAGACAGTACAGTAAGTTAGTAAAGAATTGTAGCGTTAGACATCTACAAATTAGAAAGTAAGGAGAAGAATGCCACTGGCAGGGCCCGCAACTACGGCAGTGACCAGCTGTAGTTATCCTTACACTTCTATAAACACATGGTATATTTATGTCATTTAGCAAAATTACTGGTATACTTTCTTCATGAGAACAAATATTTAGGATCAGATCTTGAAATCCTCATGGACTTCTATTCTTGTACTACTCAGAGAAATGTAGAGTTCACCGCTTCCTGAAATCAGTAGGTCTTGTTACCTCACTAGAACTAGGCTTCCCAATGCACCAATACCATTGGGAGATTTGTACGCTCAAGGGGACTGAGTGAAAAAGGAAGAAAATACTTAGGATTTAGGATCTTCTGTTGCTTTCTTGTGGTCAAGAAGAAAACTCACCCTGAACTGGGAAACAGTCCTACCCTTGGGACCTTTGTACTATGCCTTCTTTTCTAGAGCATGCAACTTCATCTTTGAGAGTCTTTGGGTCTCCACTCCTTAAAAACTTAAAATGATATCTTACTCAGCACAATAAAAAATCTTGAAATACAATTTCAATGTATACACGTATTTCTATTGTAATTTCTCAGTTTTACTTTGCAAATTACTTAACCATTTGATTTTTTTTATTTAACTCAAATAGTTAATACATCTTAATTATTTGTTTACACATAAAACATTATTACACAAGAGTAAAACAAACACATGAGATAAACCTTCCATCCAAGAGTTAATACGATTTCAGAAAATCATTCTGAATTAACAGACATCTCTATATTTTCCCTAACACAAATTAAAAAATGTTTTGGTATGATGATTTATGTTCAAGCATATTTACCTGCATGTCTGTGAAATTTGGTGCTGACTGAGTTCTTTGTAGTATCTCTAAATTTTGAAGAAGTTTACTGAGTTCCACAAGGTTTGACTGACAATGAGCAAGATCTAAAAAATGTAAACCAAAAATACATTAGGTACTTCAGACTTTTAAAAATTTTTGCCATGATGTCCTTAATTGGCACTTTATTGCATTATAAAAGTTAAATGTCCACATCCCTGGTAGTAAGGCATCTAAGTAAAAGCTTTATTTTTAGAGATGTTGAGCACTTGTTATTTCTATAGGAGTTAGCAACAGGTCTGGACATCAAAAGATTATCATATTTTAATAATGATATCCATTAAGGTAATACAGATTATTGAGATAAATTTTAAAAGCAACATCCCAAAACATGCAGGGAGGGAAGTTCACACCACAAGCATCTAATTACCTGAAGAGTTACTTCATGCGCATGTAAAGATGCACCTTAACCAGTTTACTGACTGTTTCTTATTTTATATCAACAAGAAGTTTTGCTGAATGAACAAGGCATGAAAAGGTAGACTAACCTTCTGCACATCTGTCCATCTCTTCAGAGTCCTGCAACCAGGCTGCTACTTTACTCTGACCAGTAGTGCAGGTAGCAGGAAGGCTGTTACTGCAAGGTATAGGAGACTGCCAAGGGAAGCTATTTTGTTGCACCTAAGGCATAATAAAATGCTTAAATTTACTGTTACTATGTTGCTCAGTCAGTGTAATCACCATACTACTTCAGAATAAGAGAAAATAGGCATTGTGATTTCAGTGACATCTGTGATTTGACTATATAGTTCCCCAAGATGCAGATTTTTCTGAACAGCACGTTACAGAACCAAACCAAGAACCGCACAAACCGTGTTTGCTAACCACCAGTTAGAAAAACTGTTGTTTAAGTGGAAGAACATTATCAAACAGTAAAGAGACAGATTTATCCCTGGTGACAAATGCAAGTGAAAATGTTTTTGGGGATGGTGAATTCATTTCAAGATCTCTAGAGCAGCCCATTAGTGAAGGCTGCAGTAAGGCTAAATTAGATGTTCTTTCAGATGCACACACTCGCAGCTTTCTGCTGGTCATTGGTTCCCACAGTGGAAATTCCTCTCTATTGACATTACAAGTAGAGCCCACTTAAATTTCCCATGAGGAAGCCCAGTGGGCATGAGTGTTCAACAGAAGAACACTACATACTTTTCCATCCGATGCATTAGCAGCTGGTGAAGACTCTGTAGTAGAAGCTGAAGGGAATATATGAAAGCTAGCATCCCTTGGAGATCTCACAATCTCATTCTGACGGTACAATCGGTGGTGGCGTAATTTTGAAACCCATGCATCAAATGAATCCTGGGACTTCACCTGGAAACAAATTCACTATCAAGAAAGCATTCAAAATACTACTTTTCTGCACATCTTTTACACTTTTATTTATTTCTACTGTGGAGGAAAAGAGAGCAAGTATTTGCACCACTTTTTACCTTCAGATGATAGATGTGTTCTTCTGTGTCAAGATCTATTCTGCGAGCCTTCTTTTTTATAGACATAACAGATAAACCGACATCAATGCTCCCATGGACTTTGCCTTTCTGTATCTAAAATCAAAAAGCAGGGTAAGAAATTGGTCGTATCATACATTTCTTCACCATATTTAACAGACAAATATCTGGTGCTGAAATGGTCTCCCATTTTATGAACATTTTAATATAAAGCCATATTAAAAAATAAAATATGTAGTCAGACTAACCACTTAATTTTCTCTGTCTGTAAATATAGTATCTCACAAGAAGTGCTCAGTGCAGAGCCAACTAACTCCAAAGTTAAACTGTGTTGGTTCACACCAGTACAGAGCTACAGGTAAGTGAGAAGTAGAGAAAATTAAACAGTACTCAACTCCCTACTGTTACCACTTGATAGTTAATGGTATCAGATCTAGCTAATTTAATACTACCCTTTATCTCTCTTGAGTACACTGTAATCTCTTCTCTGTCTTATCCACACATCTCAGAATAAACAGCTCTGACTGACAAAAAATGAAAAAGAAAAATACATGATCGGGATAATCTCTCAAGCACCTTCATCAAAAAAAACTACCTTAAGTAAGGTAGTTTTTATTTTCACAGAAGAAAAGGTAGAATTCTTGAGGACAGAACTCAGCTGAAACATTACTTTCTTTCCATATAAGATCTCTTTTTGAATCCATCAACAACTTCATGTGTGTGCTGTCATACATATGCCTAGAACGAGTATGAGACTTAATCACCCTGGCTGTCTGAATTCCAATACAAATTTCTAAATCGTCATCAACTTTACTTACATCAATCGGTGATTTTGAATATTTCAACATTCCATTATCCAGGACAAAAAACCTCTGAAAGAAAGAAAAAAGAAAAAAGAGCACATGTAATTTAAACTATGTAAAATAACCCATCTGAAAAAAAAAAAAAAAAAGGATTACTCTGTAGCAATTAAGGAACGTTTGTGGGTTGGAAAGAGAGGATAACTACAGTATTAAATATTTTTCTTTCTTGTTTTTTGAACAACAATCATCTTCTAAGAAAAAAAAAAAAAAAGAAACAAACAAAAAAACCAAAAAAACAAACAAACAAACAAAAAAAAACAACATTCTTTCTTGTCAACATTATGTTCTAGTTTAACCTAACAAACCTCAATAATGAAGGGTATTTTTTCTGTTTTCCAGCCAATTCAATAAACTCTATAAGAAAAATACTGTAGAACAAAAGAGTTCTGTCTCTCTCAATTTTCTTCCTGTTTTTCTTCTCACAGAAGCTAGTCACATTTCAAATTAACAACGTATCTCCCCTATATAGAAACTGAAAAGCTTTTCCTATTGCAAGATCTACATCTCAAAAGGTAGACCCACATATGGATGTTCTTGTGGTCTCCTTGATCTCCAGCTGGGAAAAAAATACAGGCTGGGAGACACTGCTCTACCATCCAAAGCTTTGTGCCTCATGGCGGAGCTCCTACACAGCGAGGTAAAGATACTGTAATTTGTGCTGATTATATGTATTCTAGCTGTAATCTAGTTAATACAGATATTAGTACAAGTGCAAATATTACAGCATTCCCAGCAACATACCCAGGTCATGGGAGGGCTTACATTTTGGGTGTTAGTCATTGATATGGTGTGAGCCACTAAATCTTCATTGACATAGTTAGCAGGGCTAATATAACCTGATAATGCCTATCTGTGCCATTGCTACACCTTTATTTTTCTGAATGGCTCTTACCTACAGCAGACAGTAGAATCCCCTATTCACAATGTGTTTCTCCCGCAATTAAAGTTGCCCTAATTTGTATGTACCAGACCACTCAAGCTACATTATAGACAAGTTAACATAGACTTTGACACAGAATAAAGATACAGCCTAGCAGAAAACCTAGATTTTAAATGAGATTAACTTATGTTTACCACCATGAACTTTCAAAACATGCTAATTAATAGAAACTAATTCATATTTTTAGAGTCTAACCTAAAGCACTAATCTATGTTAAAAATCTAGAACACAACAAAATATTATCCTACACTCTCTAATCTTTCTGACATGGAAGGGAAGGACAATGTTTTCATGACATGAACCTGTTAAATTGACACCATGAGCAGAGTCAGTAGTTAGATGGCAGAAAATATCTCCTGAAGATGGTTCTGGAAAGTATGTCAGCCACACAACAGATGGTACCAGTATCTCACACAGGGTGAGAAAACAGTGCTTTCCTAGAGATGTAACTTCTTGAATAAGATGTCAAAACAAGAGGAGGGTTTAGTTCTGGTTTGGTTGTTTGTTTTTTTTTTTTTTTTAACTAGGAATGGTCATTAATGGATTTCACAAGAACATGATATTAATTTCATATAACTCTGCCTCTCTAAGTTCTACACACAAAAGAAAATGACCTTTCTTCATATTTCATTCCAAAGCATACTGCACTTCAGAAAATTAAAAGCTACTCTTCAAGTTGTACACATTACAACTGGTACACTAATAAAGCACATTCTGAGCCATCAGAATATGATATGTAATGTTCAGTAGAGAGAGAATGCTATGGCTTTTCTAGCAGAACACAAACACAGGACACATTACAATTACTGTCTCTGGAATTCCTCACTGGGCTCTCAGCACAAAGTACTGTTATGAAAACTGCAGGACATTAAGGCAGCAGATGGCAGGGGTGGGGGGGGAAAAGAAACTTATTAACAAATCCACAGTTTCTAAACTTAAGTTCAGCATAGTTCCTTAGGTGAAACGTAAGGCAAAGTAGAGAGGGATGATGAACTGTGAAGATCTCAATCACATTAAAAATTATTTACACAGATAAATAATAATGTTCTAAAGTCATCATGAAAAACAGATTATCAGTAATCTCCTTTATAGAACTGTGAAAGTTGGGGTCCTCTTGCTCTCCTATAAATTTCCTTACCAAAACAGACACTTGTCCAAGAAACAATAGGTTAACATAATGTGTTTTAAAGGAGAGGAAGCAGTGGGATATTCCATATATTCTTAAACATCTGAATAATTGTTTGGGATATTTTGGGGGGTGGGGATGGTATCTTGGTGTTTTGTTTGTTTGGAGGGTTTATGGTATGCTTGTTTGCTGTTTGAGGTTTTTTTTATACCTTCTCCTTTTCTATTCCTTCAGTGTTTCAGGTATATCAGTCTGAACTCCTTTAATACCCCTAGACTAAATTCAAGTAGTACAAATGTATTTGGTTGCTGAAACTACATACCATAATTAAGTACAAAAAAATCAAAAAAATCTAAGCTGGCAGGTGTAAGTACTAGTATAATCATTGAATCATAGAATGGTTTGGGTTGGAAGGGACCTTAAAGACCATCTAGTTCCAACCCCCCTGCCATGAGCAGGGACACCTTCCACCAGACCAGGCTGCTCAAAGCCCCGTCCAACCTGGCCTTGAACCCTTCCAGGGAGGGGGCAGCCACAGCTGCTCTGGGCAACCTGTGCCAGCATCTCAACACCCTCACAGTAAAGGATTTCTTCCTTATATCTAACCTGAATCTACCCTCTTTTGGTTTAAAGCCATTACCCCGTGTCCTATCCCTACACTCCCTGATAAAGAGTCCTTCCCCAGCTTTCCTGTAGCCCCCTTTAAGTACTGGAAGGCCACTATAAGGTCTCCCTGGAGCCTTCTCTTCTCCAGGCTGAACAACCCCAACTCTCTCAGCCTGTCCTCATAGGGGAGGGTGCTCTAGGCCCCTGAGTATCTTCATGGCCTCCTCTGGACCTGCTCCAACAGGTTTACTTCTTTATGTTGAGGGCCACAGATCTGGACACAGAACTCCAGGTGGGGTCTCACAAGAGCAGAATAGAGGGGGGGAATCCCCTCCCACAACCTGCTGGCCACACTTCTCTTGTTGCAGCCCAGGACACGGTTGGCTTTCTGGGCTGTGAGTGCACATTGCTGGCTCACAGTCAGTTTTCCACCCACTAATACCCTTCAAGTCCTCCTCTGAGGGGCTGCTCTCAATCCACTCATTGCCCAGCCTGTATTTGTGCTTGGGATCTCCCTGACCCATGTCCAGGGCCTTGCACTTGGCCTTGTTGCACTTCACGTGGTTTGCACAGTCCCACCTCTCCAGCCTACCCAGGTCCCTCTGGATGGCATCCCTTCCCTCCTGCGTGTTGACTGTGCCACCCAGCTTGGTGTCATCACCAGACCTGATGAGGGTGCACTCAATCCCATTGTCTATGTCACCAACAATGATGTTAAACATCACCGGTCCCAGTACTGATCCCAGAGGAACACCACTCGTCACAACTCTTCACTTGGACATCGAGCTGTTGATCACAACTCTATGAGTGTGACCATCCAGCCAATTCCTTATCCACTGATTGACCCTTCCTTCAAACCCGTGTCTCTCCAATTTAGAGACAAGAGTATAATGTGGTACAGTGTCAAATGTTTTGCACAAGTCCAGTAGATCACATCAGTTGCTCTTCCCTTATTCATCAAGGCTGTAACTCCATCATAAAAGGCCATCAAATTCATCAGGCACAATTTGCCCTTAGTGAAGTGTCGTGGTTTGGGCCTGGTTGGCAGCCAACCACAATGCAGCAGCTCTCTCTCCCTTCCCCTCCGGCAATGAGAAGGGACGGAGAGCCAGGCTTGGGGTTCAAGATAGGACTGGGATGGGGGAAAATCCCCCTTTTATGATCACGAGCAAAAGGCAGACTCGTTAGGGGAAGAAAAAAAAAGAACATACATTTAGTACAGACACTAACAACACATAACAGAGTAGGACAGTGAGAAGCGTTGCCACATCTTGAGAACACCTTCCCCCCACCCCTCCCTTCTTCCCGGGCTCAGCTCTGCTCCCGATATCTCTACCTCCTCCCCCAGTGGCGCAGGGGCAGGGAATGGGGGGTGCAGTCAGTGCTGCCACTTCCTTCATGTTCGGTGAGGGGAGTGTCCAAAACTTATTCCCCCTCTACTCCATCGTGGTCCCCCTCTCACAGGAGACAGTCCTCCACAAACTTTCTCCAACTTGAATTCCTCCCATGGGCCGCAGCGTTCCCCACACTGCTCCGTCATGGATCATTAACTTCTTCCGACTGGATTCTCTCCTACGGTTGCAGCCCTTCCCGAGCTGCTCCGGCGTGGGACTCCCCCACATGCTGCAATCCTCCCAGCACTGAATTACAGCAGCGGGGCTACCTTTTCCCATGAGACCCCGGCCTTCTTTGGGCACAGAACCTTGATCATCCGAGCAGGAACGACAGGCCACAAATCAATGTCTGCTCCACCGTAGATCTTCATGGGTGGCAGGGGGGGGCCGCCCTGCCGTCTCACCACAGGATACAGGGGGGTCTCTGCTCCGGCACACCTCCCCCCTCCTTTCTTCCTCCGTTCCTCCACTGACCTTGGTGTTCATGCAGCTGCAGCAACTCTTCCTCACAAGTCCAACTGCCCGTCACCATGTCCCTTCTTAAATACGTTATCGCAGAGGCACAGCCGATTGGCTCAATTTCCCAAACAGAAGTGGAGCTGATGTGGAGCTGGGGGAGCTTCGAGAACCTTCTCACAGGGGGCCGCCCCGATAGCCCCCTCCCCTGCCACTAAAAAACTCCACCACTCACTCAACCCAGGACATGAAGCCATGTTGGCTCTCACCAATCACATTCTTATTATCCTTGTGCCCTAGAACAGATTCCAGGAGGATCCGCTCCATGATCTTGCTGGGCACAGAGGCAAGACTGGCTGGCCTGTAGTTCCCTGTGTCTTGCTTTTTTCCTCTTCTAAAAATGGGGGTTATGTTTCCCTTTCTCCAGTCAGCAGGAACTTCACCGGATTGCCATGACTTCTCAGATATGATGGATAGTGGCTTAACCACTCCATCCACCAGTTCCCTCAGGACCAGTGGATGCATTTCATCAGGTCCCATAGACTTGTGCACCTTCAGGTTCCCTAAATGCCCTCAAACCTGATCTTCTCCTACAGTGGGAGGTTCTTCATTCTCTGTCACTACCTTTGCATTCTGTGTCTTGGGTGGTATGGCTGGAGCCCTTGTCAGTGAAGACTGGGGCAAAAAAGTTGTTAAGTATCTCTGTCTTCTCTATATCCCAGGTAACCAAGTCTCCCATTTCCTTCTGGAGATGACCTACATTTTCCCTAGTTTTCCTTTTAGCACCAACACACCTACAGAAGCTTTTCTTGTTGTCCTTGATGTCCATGGCCAGAGTTAATTCCGTCAGGGCTTTGGCCTTCCTGTGATCCCTGGCTGCTTGGACAGTTTCTCTGTATACGTCCCAGGATATCTGTCCTTGCTTCCACCCTCTGTAGGTTTCTTCTTGTGTTTGAGCTTGTCCAGAAGCTCCTTGTCCATCCATGCAGGCCTTCTGGCATTCTTACCTGACTTCCTCTTTGTCAGGATACATCACTCATGGGCTTGGAAGAAGCAATCCTTGAATATTAACCAGCTTTCTTGGGCTCCTCTTCCTTCCAGGGCTTTATCTCATGGTCCTTTGCCAAGCAGAGCCCTGAAGAGGCCAAAGTCTGCTCTTCTGAAGCCCAGGGTAGCAAGCTTGCTGCACGCCCTCCTTGCTGACCTAAGGATCTTGAACTCCATCGTTTCATGGACACTGCAGCCAAGGTTGCCCTTGAGTTTCACACCCCCACCAGTCCTTCCTTGTTGGTGAGGACAAGGTCCAGCATAGCATGTCTCCTTGTTGGCTCCTCTATCACTTGGAGAAGGAAGGTATCATCAATGCATTCCAGGAACCTCCTGGATTGCTTATGCCCTGTTGTGCTGTCCCTCCAACAGATAACAAGGTGGTTGAAGTCAACCGATGAGGACCAGAGCTTGTGAACATGAGGTTCCTCCTATCTGCCTATAGAGGGCCTTACCCACTCAGTCTTCCTGATTGGATGGCCTGTAGAAGACACCCACTATAACATTCAGAAAGAATAGATAAATCTGAAAAAAAAGTGTAATTTATACTAGTATGGACTGCGTTTGGACTCAGACCTGAGTAAGTCCCACTGTTTAGCAAAAAAACAAAGTTAATGCTTTCCCAGAAGAAACGCCATATAGAACAAACGGTTTCACTATCCTTTGCAGTAAAACACATTCTGTCCTGGAAAATTACCCTTCTTCAAGTACCCTCAGCTACAAAAAGACAGGTGAACATCAATACCACACATTCTGTTGCTAAAAAGATGGGGGAGAAAATGTAATTATTATGGTATAAAATACAGAAAAAGTTTATGAACATCAGGTTTAGAGCTAACAAAAGTAGAATTACGCATGGAGAAATATCTGTAAATTAACTAAATAGAAACAGATTTGGGGTTGAGTTTAGGGTTGGTTTTTTTTTTGTTTTTTTTTTTGTTTTTTTTTTTTAAATTGAGACATCTGATAGCAAAACTGCATAGCCCCACTGCATGTCCACACAGAAGATTGAAACCAAGAAGACAAACAAAATTCAGGGACAAAGCTGAGCAAATCTGTCCAGTCAGCATGCTTGAAAGGGAATGCTCTCCCAACGAAGACCTTGGGTCCATGCAAAAGCCCCTCAGCTCTCCCCTGCTATCATGAAGTCCTGTATACTTTAATATAAACTCAATGCAAGCTTATAGTACATGGCTACATTTTGTTATAATATACCAGAAAGAATGAAAGGAATATAGATTAAACCTCTCAAACCACAAAGTATCTGCTCCATTATTTACAACTTACACATAGATTTTGGATACAGCATTAGGCACCAGGAACTGCAATTTGGAAGCCATGAGCTCTGTGAAGATTAATTCTTTACACAGTTTGAAGAAAAAGTCATACACCAAAATCCTGGGAATTTATTTGACATCCTAATTTCCTCTAGACAAAAAAAATCTCAACTCATAAAATGAGGTAATTATCTTTTGACTGTTTTATGAGACATTTACCTTGTGCCAACCTTTTAAAGGCCATTTTCTCTTTTTCAGCATGAAACCTTCATGTTTGTCTGGCTTCTGGACATTGGTCTGGCCTATTTTCAGACCCTCTATGATTTCCCAGCTATCAGGTTCCTGGTGAAAAAGTATGAAGACACATTGATTAATTAACTGTGTGCAAATTCTCCAATGCAAAACAAAGATTAAAGGAGAGCTAGGCTTTTAAATCAGCCTACTTAAGTACCAAACTACATGGTCACTGTATAATGTCCAGCTGTATCTTATTTAAAACTACTGAATATGAATGTTTTTGGAAGTCTAATCCTTACAAGGTAAGTAAAAGGAAGTTGAAGCTTTTAAAGAAGTCTGAAACTGTAACTGAACAACAATCCGAAGGTATGTGTGGACATACTGTTCACAAGGGCTGTGTCCCAATTAAATAAATACATCCAAATACATGAAAACAGGATCAGAATGTGGCTGAGCTGAATATAAGAAAGGTCAGACCTGCTACTGGAGGTAACGGTGTGAAACGGCAGGTGGCTCTGACTACCTGTTAAGTCTATCCAGAAGGCACCCCACAGATTAGCACTGCACTGTAAGAACTGAAAGGACTGAAGATATTTTGCAAGTGCAGTATGAGCAGAATCTGCATGTTAAAAATATAACTTTACTCAGAGAATCGATTCTCTAAAAAGATGGGATTGTGAGAGGAAATGAGGAAAAATCCACACTGTTAAATATATGGGCATATATTAACAGTGCCCTTTGTTTGTATTCCCTGATCTTAAAAAACTATAAATTTTCTGGTATTTAAAGTACAAGATACATTGATTCCAGATATTCTATTTTTTCCTTAAAATCAGAAAAACAAGCAAGAGGTTGATTAGTTGTTGGTTTTGAATGTAGCCAACTCTTGTCTTCAAATGCATTTTATGACAGTTTCATGGATTAATTGCACCTTCAGAAATCTGAAAAAGGAAATTTTAAAAAAAATTTCCTGCATTCATTTTCACTGTATTAAGAGAAATCTATAGGAGAGATAGCTAGTTTCCAATCTAGACAAAAGAATAGGAACTGTATAATTTCAGATACAACTAGCTGTATGCCTTTCAGGGAGCCAATTAAAGCATATTTCTTATACATACCACTTCTGACACATGACAACTCGTAAAACACAAGCCAGACATAAAATATACCATAACAAACATCTAAAGAACAATATTTTTAAAAAGAAAAACAGGATTCATGACCTTATTTCTGTCCTCTTGCTACTACTGTAATCAATAAAATTCTGTACCAATTTAAAAATCTCCTAATGCCTGCTCATTAAGATTTTATTTTACTAATTGTATCCTACAAAGTTGTAAGCTTCCATTTTCTCAGCTGATTTGTCACAACTCCCAGCAATGTTATGAGACGTTATCAAGAGATGAAGGAGGTCATACAGCATCAAATATTTAAAGGGGGGGAAAAATTTTCTCCTCCATTTCCCACAAAACTGTTCAAAGCATAGCACTGTCAGTCTTTGTAACACCTCAAAGTAAGTTACACAGCCCTGATAACATTAACATTACTAGTATAAAAATACAATTTCAAAAGTAACAGCAAATTTCAAATCTACAATTTTCAATGAGTTCTTGTTATTTTGAGAAGTGTGAAAAGCTCTATCTCAAATAATGCATACAGTAGTAAATTTTAATATAAATGTTTACTCCGTTAGTATTCCCTTCATAACTATAAACTGGAACTATCCCAGTGCCTGTAAATGCCATGCTCAAAAAACATGTTTACTTCCTTGTGTTTTGCTTAGATATTCTATTTTCACTAACTGTAGAGGGAGGCACATATGCATTACTTTTTCCCTACAAAGAAACACTCGGTACTTCAGGGGGGCAAATTAAACTGAATCCCCTGGGGTGATCAGAGAACCTCTCTCTGCAACTCTGCCAACTGATTCTTCATCATATTGATTTCTCCTTTAGAAAATCAGCTGCAGGCATAAGTCTTTTATCTACTAGATAACATCAGTATTGATTACTTCTAAACTAGAAATCACACCGTATCATATAGCTATTAATTTAAACAAAAGGCCTGATACAGAAGGACAAAATGAGCAATTAGTCAGTGCAACATGGATACCTGTCTTCAGCTGCACCAGTGCTACAAGCTGTTCTTAAACCATCCTAACAATGGTAACTATGCCTCATCCCACAGGTTTGGTATGATGAGATAAGCCCAATAGAAAGGGACATGATGCAAAACCAGTCAGAAACAGCAGAAAACCAGAGTGAAAGTTATATGCTTGAAGGGTCATCATCCAAACACAGTTCTCAAATACAGCATTAGTACTTTAGGACTTCCGTAATTCCCTACACATTACATGAGAAACAGCTCTGCACAAAGCAGCAGGACCAGGACAACAGAAGTATCTTACAGTCACTGGGTCTGCATATGCCCTAGGTATTGAGAGTAAGGGAACCACTACCAACAGCTTTCTGAACCTAGTTTTTTTGTCTGCAAAGTGTTTATTTTACAAATAAAACAGAAGGAACCACTTCATTTTCCCCGGGAGAACAGAATGTTTCCCTTTTAATCTGTTTTATTTATTCTGTTTCAGAACTTACATTTAATTTCAGATTTTTCTTTTCCACCAAATATTCCATCACAGCATCTTTACCTTTTCAGTAACAATCTTATTTTTCATACTAAGTATCTTAAAATTAAGCCTTCTTTATGAAGGATTAGACTTCTTTGGAATCATTTGTTCCAAAACTGAGGAATTCAGGCAGGAGGAAGTTGACTGCAGAGCACCACACAAAAGACTGTACCTTTCATAAACTGGTGGTGTTAGTCCTACAGTTCTATCCATTTCTCTGCCTCGGGAAAGAAGGTCTCAGCAAGAGATTTTAAACTTCACCCACAAGGAATGTCATTAGGACATATGTTTTAAATTAATATCATTACTGATTAGCAGCACTTTGGGACTTGATACAGTTTGCTCTATCGTAATAAGAGGATTGGACTGAATCCTTTCTCAAAGTCCCTACTAGCCCCATACTTCGAAATTGTAATGCTTGTTTATGGGGACCATCCATGAGCAAAAATAAACAAATAAACAAAACAGACCACCACCACCACCTAAATCCTTAATTTTGTTAATATAGCATCTACTAAAGATTACCCCTCTGACACCTCAGCTGGGGAACAGGAAGCTCCAGGGCAGGCTCACAATATACTCAGTTGTAGAATCATATAAAACAATATCCCAATGCTGTTAGTCAAACTACTTTGTAACTACAGAGAGAAACTCATCACTTAGATTACATGCTTTTGCTTACCTTGGATAGAGAGATAGGGTCGCTTTCAAGGAACTGCTTGCTTAAAGAAGGGTCTGTGCTTCCTGAAGAAGCCTTCCGCTCCAAAATATGAACACTCTTAATAAAGAAAACAAAAAAAACCTCAAGTAATGAAAGAGAAAAACTTAACATGTATTTTAAAAAGTAACATTGAATGAAAAGTGATGAATGAGCAGTCATTACACACTTTATATAAACTATCAGCATCATGGCTCAAAGCATACCACGTACTACCCGTGTATAGCATAACTGCACAAATAGTTTGCCTTCTGAGGCAATACACAGCTCTTTCCTTCCTCTCTGTCCTGAGTTCAGCTGGGATACAGTAAATTTTCAGAAGAAGTTGGGAAGGGCACAGCCAGGGCATCTGACCTAAACTAGCCAAGGGCATATTTCATACCATATGACTTATATGATCAGTATATGATGGGGGAATCTGTCTGGGGAGGAGGGATTACAGCTCTGGAATGAGATGAACACTAGGTTCCAGGTGGTGAGCAATTGCATTGTGCATCATTTACTTCATACATTCTTTTATTAGTATTATTGTTGTTATTATTTCTTTTCTCCTTATGTTGTCCTATTAAACTGTCCTTATCTCAACCCATGAGGATTTAACTTTTTCTCCCAATTCTCCTCCCCAACCTACCACAGGAGATGGGGGGAGGAGTTAGCAAGTAGCTGCATGGTGCTTAGTTGCTGGCTGGACTTAAATTACAACACTCTTTCTTTTTCTATTATTGTTTTTTGAACTAATTACTCTGTTCAGGCTAGAAATGACTGGAAACTAAAAAAAAAAAAAAAAAAAAAAAAAAGCCAGGAAATACAACTAATGCAGTTCTTACCTACAGAGATGCAAAGTGCTCCTAGCCAGACCTATTACTTTTTCTGCAAAGTACAAGACACTGAGTATACATACCATGCAGTCAGCACTGTCCTATATCCACTTCTGAAGCAAACCATTGCACATAAGATATCACTGCCCCTAACATACTCATTACCACACCTTAGAATTTTCCTATTGGCTTCTCAACCCAGCTGAAGTAACTCATTATATGAGTGTTTTTAATAGATTACAGGTGTGCACAAGATCAGTTACCAGGTCTCAGTTGATAGGCTTGCTGGTGAAGATTTATGGAACACAATTATCTCAAACCATTACAGATGTTTTGACATATGACAACACTATAAAATTTTGTATCTTCAAAGCATAGTATAAAAATTAAATACATAATGTCACAACTAGTCTTGAAAAAACTGCTATTGTTAAAAGACATCTAAAAAACATCTTCCCATTTCCCAGAAACATTTCACTCATATTTTGTAAAAGAAAAAGTATTTTTCCTACAGGAGAAAATAACCACATTCTGCCTGCTTGGATTTGTATTTTGTTCTCTGGTGAAATTTTGCTATGTGTCATTTGGTAAGAATTCTACCACAACATGTCAGTGGTATCTCTTTGGCATGAAATAAAACTATTGCATTTCCAAGACATGTAACACAATAACAAACTTGCAATTACCCTCTAAGAAGGCTAACTTTATCTCAACTAAAAATAATAATTAAATTTTGTTCACAATTAAGCTTCTTTACATTTACTAAATAAGAGGTTATATGGGTACAAGTGGGAGCAGAAACAATCAGGGAATATAAAAATACATACCGACAGCAGAGTAAATATTATTATTTATAGAGGTAACTAAGTACATATGGGCCAGAACCAAACAAAATGAAAATAAGCACAGCTATTTATATACATGCATATATAATACAGGGCAACACACAGACCTTCATTGTTCTCTTTCAATTTGCAACTATGAGTGAGAATAGGAAAATATGGGGATTGTCTCTGTTGTCAGTGGAGATTAATAAGCATCCCTGCCACTATGCAACAATAATCAATATTTATTTTCTATTATTTCAGTTTAATTTTACAGTGAAAAATGTGGAAAAGCAGCAGTATTGTATTACCTGCTACATTCCCCATGGCCAACCATCAAAGGCTTTGTCATCTATGCTTTGAAATCCTCTGTTTTATCAAATAAAGGCCAATCTTATTATTTAGCTCAGTGTCTATCACTAGCCAGAAACACATTTGTATTTATGTAGCACAAGTTCCAACATTACATGACAAATAATTTAATATGCATGTTTGAGCTGAGCACCACAAAGTTACTACTGATAAAACTATGATGAAGTTTTCTCATTGAAAGATGACATGCTGCTTATGCATACAGTATCACATTTAAACAATATAAAAGAAAGTCTAAATCTGTTGCCTGATTAGCATAATCAGGACGATTCTCAACTTCCTTGCCAGTTTTGTTTGGCAGGCAGGAATCCCTCCATCTTGAGATGGAGCAATGCCCAACACAGATGTTCTGAAGGTCTCATATGCAGCAGCCGGTGCAGTTTGTTGTTATATAACTGCAATATCATTTTGTACAATATTTAGAGTGGAGTAACCCAACAGTCCTTGGTTTGCCAGATTTCCAGTGAGATTTTCAATTGCATGATTTTAAGGCAAGGGGGTTTTGTGGGGTTTTTTTTTGTTTGTTTGTTTGGGTTTTTTTAATCAGCCCTTAGTCATTACAGTTCCACTTCAGTTGAAAAATGTGTAATTAGCTAACATCACTTTAATGAATGCTGACATTCAACTATTTGTTTGGAAATAAGAAAATTAACTCTTTTAAAATCAAATTGCCTTCTTTACGTTTCTTACTTCAAGAAGCGTTGTCTTGTTGTCTGTAAATGTCTGCTTTCCAGTTCTTTTATGTCATGACCACCATTACACTGACAAAATAATTTCCTTAAATTTATGGCTTGTCTCTAACATAATATCAAGATATATTACTTGGTGCAAAATGTTTTCCATTAATGTATGCTATTTTTCTGCAAAGTTACAGTGAGAAATTACACAATTATTTGACATTTTGAAAAGCAGCTATTTTTATAATGCAGGAGATCAGTTATTTAGCATCACAGATATAAAAATTATTTAGATCTTGAAGCTAGTATCAAGGAGTTTTTTGTTTTAACAAGAAAAATAGAGTTGGTAAAGGAAGCAGTTAAAAAAAGCTGATGAGAAGAAAGAAAAAGACAGATCAATACAGCTTCTGGGGTTTCTTTATATGAACAGAAAAATGAATAATCCATTAAACTAGGTATCTCAATCAGCCTGGTACTCTCACTCCTGTCATCCCAAGAATACAGGCAGACAAAATCAACCTCTGCATTGCTTTGTTCCAGACTTCCCTCATGCTTCAGGATTACCTGTGTGCTATAGCTGGCTTGTCCTGGAGAAAAACACCCGCGCCATCAAATTCTGTGTGCTCTTGGAAATTAATTCAACAAGATTAGAATTTTAACTGAAATTCCTCTGTAACCCCATTGCTAAATCTTACTCCTAACTACAATCCTTCCTTAAGCTTTGAAATTATTCACAACATGCATTATATATGTGAGCACACGTTTGCCTCAAAATTTACCTAATAAGCCTACACGTGGGGAACAGAAATGTTGATTCTGCCCTGCATATTTTTCATGTTGTTTGCCAAAGACATGTGAGGAAGAAGGAAGGTGATGGAGAACAACAATATGAAGTTGTTTCATATTATCATCTTCTCTGGAGGGCAAGAATGGAAAATGTATTTTACAATGTCTTTCCATATATCTTGCCAACTTTGTTTCTCAGTTAAGAGTTCAGTGACCCATTCATCTCATCCACCAGAACAAACACTAGCACATGGAGCATCTGGTCTCCATCAGGACAGAGGCTGAAGACCCTAACATTTCTTAACTGAATCTGACTTCCCATTAAAAGAAAAGACATTCAACTGTTTTCAAAGGGAAGGCAAGGAAAGAAAAGAGATATTGGGTAAGTAGAGATAGGAAATACAGTGAAGGACAAGTCTGGCACTCTTGCCTCCCTTTCTGCTTTGCTGCTAATTACTTAATGGAATGTAATTATATTTAATGCAATGAGTTCTCTCTAATTTATAATTTATGCATTTTCAAGAAAAAGGCAGCTGGTGAGGAATTTATCACTCACATTGGAATCAGACTCTCTCAGTTCAGGAATGTGTACAACATCTGGCTAACAGTTAATTAATGAAAAAGAATTGATGGGTCATTTTGTTGGCTCACAGTATTCAGCAGTCTCCAATACAGGGCAAGCAGTCTCTAATACATAACCATGAGGCCTAGACATAGTGTTCTACAGCAGTAATTTAAAACAGAGCTTTTCTCTCAGGGTTGTGTTTGTTTTCTTTAAACTGAAGGACTAACTAGTGCATCTTTTCTTATCTGCTATTCATTGGCATTATTTGCAACCTAGCTACCCCTGCACAGACCTGTGTTCTTATTTGAATTCTGTTTAGTATGAGGTGTGATGCTTAATCACTTCCGCTCAACTAAAACATAGTAATCCCCAGTTATCTGATATACAGCAGCAGTAATAAGGTAGATACAGATTTGACTTCAGACTTACTAGTTTTTACTACCTTTTAAATAGAGCTGTGATATATACTGAGTTAATCTGCAATATTATTTGCAATATTATTTGCAAATGGAATAATCTTGAAATTTGGTTTTATCTTAGGTTGCTTCTCAGTCAGCTCTGGCTTTCCTTCTGTTGGTGTTGGAATAAAGACAGAGTCTTGAATATCACTGTGAGAGAAGGGTGAGTACAAAGCAAAACAACCATGTCTCCATTAGTACACTTCTTTTTTTTCCTTCTAGCACTTTTTTTTTCTTTGTATAAAGCAGCCATGGCCCTATTCTCATCCTCAGTCTCTCCTATTGACACTGATCTATAGCTGTTTTCAACAATCTGAGCTAACAACCAACAGACAGAGGAACTTAATGATACTCTGTGAATAGCACATGTAGCTAATATTTTTTTTTTTTATTCTTGTAGCACATGCTCATCTTCTACAGAAAGAGCAACATTTTCTCTTTGTAGCATTTTTACTGAAAGATTAGTATGTCTAAGCAGCAGTTGTGTACCATACAGCATACCTGTAGCATACAGGTATGTATGTCTCTACTTCTTTCCTGTAATATGCAAAATAAATACT